TCAAAGATACAACAATATAATTATATATATATATATAAGGTTAAAAGAAATTATTTTTAGAGAAAGTCAAAATAATAATCTATACTCACGTTAAATCTTTTATTAATAACTTAGAAATGAAATCTTTAGCTACTTGAGAAATATTCGAAAAGCTTTCATCTTCAAAATCAAATACGGCTTTTGTAACGTTTCCCATTGTTTCTAATTCTGTGTCTCCCATAAAGGGTGACAAGCCAGACAATCTACAAACAAAATTAGATAAAATTAAAAAAATACATATATTTTCTATAAATATACAATTTCATCGAAAATTCTAAAATTAATTGTTTGAAAATAAATGTGTGTAAAAAGTAAAAGGAGAAAAAAAATGACATTTTGATGAAATTTAATTTTAATTGTTTTCTATCACGAAAATGCACTTTATCTGCTTCATAAGATTATGAGATTTCATTCTGTATGTAGATAATATCGTGTTAAATTATACTTATAATGACAAGAGAAATTGTGCAATTTTATCTAACTTAGGACTTGTAATTGCGTGCTCTATTTTTTTGCAAAGTGGTCGGTTATAATATCGTGAATAAGTGTGTTCACTTTCATTACTGTAGTGATCAGATAACGAATGAAACTTACATTTACAGAACTCCGATAGAAATTGTAATGCACTATCGAAACTTCTGTATTAAACTATGGTCTAAAGTACCAGATCTTTTTGTGCATAGTCATTAAAGTCCATGTTAGCGTAAAATCCCTTTTACCGTAAAATATCATACCGTAATTTTTACAGTAATATTTACGTAATGGGAATAATTCCACGATTCAGTGATTTCAGTGAGTAATTCAGTGATTTACTGCAAATATTATTATAAGAATTACGGTAAATCAGATTTTTCGTTCAGTAACATGTTCCGATAAAATTAGATTTTATGGTAAAAAGTACGGGCATTCTGAGTGAGGTACTTTTTACCGTATATAGTTCCGGATTTTTTACATTGTGCTATCAAGTCTGGAAGTTATCGAAAATTTGATTACAAGAATTGTTTATTACATTTACGAAAGTTAGTGATTAAACACACAGCACAAATATAATTAGTATTTTTTTTTAAAAAAAACTAAAATATATTGCAATGAAAAAAAAACGTTGCTTCCTTTAATAAGTATGCTAGTATAACTTGAATGTTAACATAGTATATTTCTAGAAGAAAAGCAATATAATTTTTTTTAAATATAACTTATATGACTACTTACAACACATAACATATAACTCCAACACTCCACATGTCTGTAGTATAGGAAACTTTGTCAAAATTTACTACTTCAGGAGCTACGAATTCTGGCGTACCAAACAAAACTTGTAATTTTTTACTAGGATCATATTTTCTTGCTAATCCAAAATCTATAATCTTTATTTGGTTCCCTGTTCTCGTCATGCATAGAATATTTTCTGGCTGAAAAATATCATATCAACTCATTTAGAGAGCATATAATCTTTATAAATCATTATTGTAAATATTAGTTTTATAATTCAAGTTATAAATCAAGTATTAGTTTTTATTGCAGTTTCAGTAAAAAACGAGATATTTTTATTGTTATTTTAAAAAAAAATCAACCTAATAAAATAAAAGTAATTTCGTTATATGCAGTATAATTTTTTACGACATTCTGATTTTTATTGAAACAGTATATAGTACTAGATTTATTTATACAATACTCATGCCTCAAGGGCATGAAATTTGAAAACGGAATGACAGCTTTTCCCCCACCATGCATGAGCTGAAACATCCCATCATCTCCTGAGAACATCCTTAACTAGCTTTACTGCGGAGGATCTATTACTAAAAACGCTAATGGTTGCATCAAAGATAATGGAATGTTTGCACGATTTCAAGGATCTGGTTTAGAGCTAATCTAAACAATGGGCATAATTCCCACCACCACCATAAAGTCCTACTCATGTATTTAATTAAATTTTAATGGCAAGAACGGAAAAAAATCTTTTTTTTTTTTTTTTTTTTTTTTTGAATGAAAAAATAGCAGAATACTTCTTGAAAAAGAGATACACAACGGGGTAGATTTCTAATTAATCGGAATTAAAAATTGCTGACTACCTTTTGATATTTTCAATAAATTTTTTGACTTTACATGTAACTAATGAAATCAACGCATGTTTAAAATTTAAACATGCGTTCAAATGAGTTTGAGCTAATTAAGTAAAAATAAAGGTAAACTCAATGCAAAACCGGATTACATAAAATATTTTAAATCTTCGCAAGCATTGTTCTAGGTTCTTAAACACACACAAAATTATAAAATTTTACGATTTAAATATAAATATTATAAACTAGCTGCCAGAGGCTAGCAGTTGTTTCGCCTGCACGAGTCGCTGCTTCGCGGATTCTGCTGCATTCGACAGAACTGCTCTGAATCTATGGCACTGGTATTTTAAGGGATTGGGTGGTTTCCTCTTCATATTCGCCTTCACGAACTCACCGCTTCACTGGTCCAATTTGTTCCTTCTACTTTCGTGAGCATTAGCATTAAATTTGGGGTTGATACATTTATATGAAGAGAAAGTAGTGTTCGATTTGTTTTAAAAGCAATTTCTTTTCTACGTAAGTATTGTTTGCTCTAATATTTACACAAAACAACCAAAGTTAACAGTGGGAGCATATAATGAGTGACTTATGCTCTGCCACTCTCTAAAAGACATTTTTCGTCTAAAATGTCAATCATATTTTCTCTCCTTTTTTTGACCACTACATCTCGTGAATGAAGTAAACAAAAACACAAAATATCTAAAATAGCACTTACTTTGTAAAATTATAATCTCTTTGGTAAAATCATGTAATTAAAATAAATTTAAAGTATGCTTTTATAGTTATGTGATAAGGAGTTTCAGTAATCATATTAGTACCGTTAATTTTTAGTTATTATTTGTAAGTAATAATATCAAAGATACAACAATATAATCATAAATTCCAGACATTGTGAGTTAATTTCAAATATCTTGCAAATTTTCGATGCTTAGTTATCTGTTCTACAATAGAAATAGCATATTTTTGCCATATAAAAAGCAAGAATGCTTGCTGATATTTCATTACCTTCATATCCAAATGTAAAATATTTTTGCTATGCATATATTCTACACCTTCACATATCTGTCGTACAAAAATAGAGCATGCTTTTTCTGTTAATACAAAATCATCACTAATTACTCTTTCAAACAATTCTCCTCCTTCTATCCTAGAGTAAAAAGAAAATATTATTTAGTTAATTAAAATTTATATATTACTTAAAGATCAAAGACAAAAAAAAAAGAAAAAATGAAAACGCGAATAATACACATTCGAAAGTACAGAAATAGACATACTATAGTTTCTATAAACGAGAACCTTCCTCAGTGTCTAAACACCTCCATAGAAGTAAAAGAGACAAGCATTATCAAAATAGTTTAACCTAATAGGTACCGAAGAAAATGTTTGAAAAAGATAAGAAGGGAGATAAGACAAAGGGAGATAAGAAACAAGTGCGAAAGGATTTTGCAGGAATACATTAAAATATACTAACTATTGAGAAACGTCGGGATACTAAAAAGATCATTAGCTAAATTATTAGAATTTTTCAAAATATGGAATGACTCCCAAAAATCAAGTTCGGGGATTAATGATGTTAGCTAAAGAAAATTCATGCTAGTGATTTGAATTCCAATTTTGTAGAGCGACGGTTAATGTCCTGATTTTGTACATACCTTTCGTGCTCTTTAATTTGAAGTTCACGGGTACGTTTAGTTGTCCGAAATACGCAAGACCACACTGACACAAAATTTGATAACACCCCAGCTATTAATATCAACCATAAGGTCTGTAAGGTTTGTGAAATTCAGTGTATTTACAAAGGGAAAAAAAACGACTTTAATTTAAAATTTATTCAAAATCTTAGAAATTTTCCAATATTTATTTTTTATTTAACAGAAATCAAAAAATTTTGAAAATTACGGTACACAATTTCATTAAGTATGAAATTTTACATGGTAAAATGCGAAGTTTGAGGGAATTGGTTGAATAGTTCACGAGAAGTTGAATTTTAAAAGTGTCATATAGTTGAAGTTTGATTTCTCAGAAATTATTGAACCAATTTTGAAAAACATTTTGTCCTTTATTAAATTAAATTATATACTTTAAAACGACCTAAAAATTGCATACCTTAAAGTTCAAAATTTTTAATTACTATTAAATAAAATAATAAATATTTACAAAAACTTTTTCCTTACATTGAATTACTTTTGCGTAAACGAATTTCATAATTGTGTGTGAAAAAAATTTTCAATTTTGCTTTCAAAGTTCTCGAGTTGTGGCAAAATACGCAAAAGGAAAATTAACTTTAAGGGGTCCAAACTTCGGATTGCTCTTTTTGATCAAATTCTGGGGACCATATTTCCCAGATTGCGGCTACCCTCTATATTTTGAGGGTCAGAAATCCGAATCAGTTGAATAAAATGCATGTTAATCAGAGTACGTTTCGTTACTGCTTAAACAAAACCTAACTATCCTCAACTTAAAATATCATCTGCACTAATCAATTTGAATTAATGAGGCCTTCTCCTCAAACCATTGAGAATGAGTCCTAGAACATGAAGATACGATCATTATAGCAAAAGTTATTCAAAAAGGTCCTTTTGTTTAGCCCATTGTATATTTTTGCGCATGTTTTATTAATCTCCTTTTTAATGTCTGAAACTCTTGCTCACCATTTTTAAAATTTATCTGCAGCAAACTCTATGAAATGTATGGTTGATTGAAGCACAATATTTTACAAGACTAAACTTACTTGCCAGCCTTAAATATTTTGCCGCCAATAGTGAGCGGGCTCGTGGAAATTTCGTGAACTGTTTAAAATACATGGATCTTTTCATGTAAAGAAAACGTTTTACATTTAAGATATAGTAATTTTAGTTTGATAATAAATTCATATTAGAATAAAAAAATTGTGTTACAGAACAATCAACAAAAAGGTTAGCTGTCATTTATATTATCTCAGTACAGGGGAACATATGTCTCTCGGGTTAATATTAAGTAAGCTAAATTTCCTGAAATAAACTAAACATTAAGTGTTTAAAAACATTAGTTAATGTTTTAAAAATATTGGAAATGTGACAACTCTTGTTTGAGATTTTGATGTTCGTTGCCAAGTGTATTCTTATTCTTTAGTCGAAAAAAATATCTTTATCATTAATCAACCCAAATGGTGTGCGGAACGACGTGATTGCTATTATTAAACTCGAAAATAATTAATTTACATTTCCTTTTAACATTCAAAAGCATACTACACAAGAATAGGTAATCGTCCAAGAGGTACTAATTATAATTCTGAAGATACTTTTAAAAAATATACATAAAATAATAAGATTTTTTTTTATCAACGGTTTCTAATGGTTTCCATATTTTCAATTATAAGACTTTTTGTTGGGATTAAATTTTTATAAATCTTCTAAAAATCATAACTTTTTTGAAAAATAGTTTTCTTTTTTTTTAAGAAAAACCGTTAAGAAAAGTTACAGGTACCAATTAGTAGTGATGTTTTTATCAATAAAATAGTTTTAAAAATATTTTAACAATTATATTAGCAATCTTGAATTAATTCGTAGAAAAGTTAGATTTTTATTTTTTTAAACAATTTCTTTCTTTTTATTTCAGCTCGCATTTTGCTTCTCGTGTCTCAATTATTTTATTATTTCCCTGAAAGTTTGACATTCATTTCAGAAATTTCCCCCATGGATTACAGCCAGTCAGCGGTAAAAAGTACTCCTGCCATCGAACGTAAAAACAATGCACATTAATCTATAATAGCCATAAAAATAATGGTCTGCCCATTTATTTTCCTCGTAAAATGTATGGCCACTGACCGTAATTTAACAGTATGTTAGTAAAAGTTATCTTCGATTCGGCCCTTAAATTTATTTAGAATCCAGTTGATTTGTTTGTCAAATGGAGGCTAATTATTGAACTATATGGAGTAGTATATCTGTCAGGGAATGAAAGAGTTGCTTGTTAGTTGCTCGAGCATGAGAAATGCTCCTTGGTACTGACTGAGATTGAACCCAGAACCTTTTATCCGTTGGGTGATTATTGTAGCTACCATGGAAATGAGTGCGCACGTCAATAATTGAGTTAGATGGTTTTAATAAACTGATTATTTAATTTCACGATCAACTCTACAGGGTTTGCTGAGGTTCCATTCATTTAAACTCTCGGAATTTTTTCGTGCAAATTATCAGCCAATTCTTTGAATTTTTGGAAAATTTCTTATAATGTACAATTCAGTGATTTAAAAAGGCTTCTAAAAATGCTTTTGTCCATTTGGAGCCTTCAATGCGGAAGAAGTCATTGATGAAACCTAAACACAAGTTACGAATTGGTGATTGGAATGTAAGAACTACATTTGTTGCCCTTACATGGGCCCCTGATGGTAAAAGAACAAGAGGAAGACCCAGACTTACCATCCAGCGCATGTTTTTGGGCGAATTAAAAGAATGTAGAATATCTGGCTGAGAGGAAGCAAGATCTATTGCTAGAGACAGGAGGCGTTGGAGGGATGTGCTGGAGGCCTTAAGTGCCAAAAGGCACGTAGAGGATAAGTAAGTAAGTAAGTAAAAATGCTTTTGTAAATACTAAATATTTTACTTTATATTAAATATTTAGCTAAATATTTAACTGAATATTAAATACTAAACGTTTAACTTTTTATTTAGTTTGAGTGTAACAAAACGCATAGTTTTGCAAAAAAAAAAAGTTTCAAATGTGATTTTTTTGGTGTGTTTTCTCAAACAAGTGCAAAAGATAAAAATTGCATTTTGAGTCAATTTATATTCCTATTATGCGTCTGTATATAATATTTAAAGTTTTTTCGCTGACATACGAGGGATGATTTTTGTATTTTTTTAATTTATATTTTGATACAATTTTATAGGTTTTATAAAATTAAATCCAAACAGTATATAAAATATGTAATGAAATTTCATACCAGTAAAAAAAAGTCTATAATTTTCCTTTAAGAAGTCTCTTAAAGTATTTAAAACTGCATCACAGCTTAATTCTAAATGTATTTTATAAGATATATGCTAAGAAATATTACAGTTTCCGTAACCATTTACTGCTCAAACAATACCATACGGTGAGAAATTAAAATTTGCCGAACAACGGAACAAAAATTAGAAACAAAATTTTTAATTCGAAAAAAAGACATGATATCTTGTATCGGATGAATCTAAAATTTTTATGTACGTACTCTTTTTTTCCCCTTGATTTTGAAATAAAAAATAACTCATAGCATTTATGACAAGCAAAATAAATTTTAAAAATCTTAGCATTTTTCGGATAGCTGGCTTTTAAAATATGTAATAGCTACACTTGGCCTTATTATAAAGTTATATATTCCATTATATGTCAAAATAAACTGTTAATTTTCTGTCCAACATTAGTGTTTTTTTTTTTTTATTTACTGAGGAGTATTTCCTGTAAAAAATTTGGAAACAATCTAAAACTATGTTTTTTTTAAATTTAAGAAGCTGAGATAGGAAATAATTATTTTTAATTATTTCAGTGTAATCATGTGTTCCTTAGCTAGTAAAACTGCTATTGTAAAAAGCAACTATGTGCTATATTAGTAATACACGATTAACATACATTTAACGTAAAGTAAAAAAATATAAAATTTTAGAAAATTAAGGAAAATTGATTTTACTATCATTTTCATATGGTAAAATTTTGAAACTGCTTGCCATTACTTTCTTTATGCACTAGGAAATATAAATGGAGCATAAGTGAGCAGTAAAGAATGCTACTATTTTCGAAAAACTCATAATTCATGCTTATTACTACAAATTTTTGTAGAATTTTTTAATTTTTTGTAACACTAACAGCCAGACAATAAATTAACTATTAAAATATGATTCAAGCATATATGTGTTAATCTTATCCGAATATCGAGTGCAGCTGACCCACCACCAGGAATAGTTGTTTTTGCATGATAATTTAATAACAGGTAAAACAAAACAAAAAGTGCAAGTTTAGCAACTAGTATTATTTTTTTTTCAAGTCAAAGAACAGAAAAAAAATTAACATAAGTTTACTCATGCTTTTGAATACATCATGCACATGATTGAATGAATCATACACATGCTTTTGAATGCATCATGCAAATGGTTAAATGAATCATACACATGCTTTTGAATGCGTCATGCACATGATTTTGCACATCACGTGCCTGGTGCACTCAAAATTTGAAAATAGAAAAGAAGGCAGAATTAAAGTTCATAAAACACAAGACCACAAAAAGAAAAGATTAGGACATTTTATAGTTTCCATATGAGCAGAATAGTAAATTTTTGCGTAATTTAACTGAAATTAATATATGTATATATATATATATTATTCATTATGTTAAGTTGTCTTAAGTGTTAATTTAAATAGCATTCAAATTAATTATACGTCAAGTATTTATTTAAATTTGTTTTATTAGGTATTCTAAAGTAATAATTTGAGTAGTGTTAAATAATTAATTATGTATAAGGTATGTATTTAGAATAATTTTGCATTTTTATAGAAATAAAAAATTAGTAATTTTTTAGATTTATTTTTGATCCCTTCTTAAAATGGCTGTAGAAATTTAAAACATAAACGGTGCTATGATGCAGCATACTTTCATACCAATTATTGGTGACGAACCTCTTGGGAACAATAGCCTATGTAATATGATACTGAAGCTATGGCTCGAGACTTGCGTGAGGAAGTAGTACAGCACGTAATATACCACGTAATGTAATACAGCACGTAATGTAGTACAGCACGTAGTTTTCTATCTATCTCATTATAGCCTACTATTATATGCTGAAATACCCCGAACTCATAGTCACGGTGGTTTATGAGATTTAATGAATGCCGGGTGATTTTACAACTTTTGGGGGACAACTTTGACAATATCAAGGACATGTCTTGAAAATAGTTAAAATTGAAAGTACTTCAGCTCGAGCAAAGCCACGGGCAATGGCTAGGCGGTAACGAAATTTGGTTAATGTATTATTTAAAACTTATTACGGAGCTGGGATTGAAAGAGGGGGCTGAAAAATTAGAATATTTAATTGCAGCTGTTCTGGGCAAACTGCTTGTTTACTATTAAAGCTTATGTCTTGTACAAGACAATTCTGAAAGGTGACCAAACTGGTTGAATAAAATAAGTAAATAAATAAATAAATTTGCTAAATAATGTACGAAATAAATGTACTGAAAAGGACATATAGTTTTTCTAAAATAAGAACTCCCCCAGACATTCGTCTGGACCTGTGGCCGTGAATATGGTAACGAGATATGACTATTTCAAGTAGGAATGCGGGGTCATTGTTTTGGAGTGGTTTCGGCTCAAATCAGCGAGAGAAAGGGAATCTCTTTCTTCGGTCTATTGTGTTAGTCCTAGAGTGAGTTTACCCTCTTTAAAATGCGGCATTCTTGTTTCCATAGCACCAGACGGCTTCAGACTTCGTGGCAGGGGGGCTCTTAGTTTCGACACACTATACTATATTATCGGTTCTATTCCCGTACTTTTATTTTATTTTATAACCGTCTCTAAGCAGCCGACCCAATTTTATGGGTTTACGAGTACTAATGTTCAACTCCGTAGCCTTGTAATTTTAAGTTCAATCCAGATGACAAGGGAACTCCTGAATCAAGTAGTGGGAGAAATTTGCCTCCATGGAGAACTTTTTGATGGAACTAACCTACATTTGCGTTACAGGGAGACGAAAGTCACAAAAACATCCCATGGTTAGCCTGACGGCAAGGGTTCTCAAACCCATGATCTGTCTACCACTGAGGATATTTTAGGTCAGCACTGAGATCGGTGAAAGCCAGGAATGGAATTCGTATAGACCAACCATCGCCTGTCCACCTCATTGGAAAGTGAAAGTTTCATCCCCTAAAACACCACGACTCTGAACTTTTACTTGGTTTTAATTTTTTTTTTCGCTTTAGTATAACATAAGGTATTTTCTTTCATTAGGAAAAGTAAAACAAATCGTCATGGTAGGCCAGTAGTTAGAGAATTGGACTGCTTCATGGATAAGCCGAGGTTCGATTCTCAACTCCGTTAAGACCACCATATACATGATTATAAAAACTTTTAAATCGAAAATTCTGTGGTTGGTCACTGAGCAGTACTATGGGTAAAGTGCTTCGGGGAGAATTTCTTTCCTTTGAGATCTACGTTTAAATTGAAAAAGTGGCCTCACACGAATGACTGCTGGTGCCATCTATCCTAAGGGGTTCTGAAATAAGACATACATTCACACTTGTGGTGCTCTCTTCAAAAGGCGCACCTTCCTTACTTAATTCACAAAAGGCCAATGACTGGTGAGCTTGGCTAGTCCAAGTGCCATTAGAAACAACAACAATAAAATAAATCCCGACTAGTGTAGTAAAAAGAAACTCATAATTCCAGTATAAATTAGAGGTACTCACAATTCTAGAATAAGGCACATTTCTTTTTTTCCGTCATCAAAAGCATCATAGAGTTGAAGCAAACGAGGATGCTGAAGCAATCTCATTATTTCTACCTCCCTCTCCACATCTTTACGATCTTCCAGTCGTGGGGTGTAGATGAATTTGGCAGCAAGTTTTCGCCCAGTAGTTTTCTCCGTGCATTTGTAGACCGTCCCGAACTTGCCTCTTTAAATTAAAGAAATCATTAGATTTGTATGGAAAAAAAACTTAAAATCCCTTTACGTAGAATGTTTCTAAAAGTTTTAGTTTATACTGTCACCCTTATTGTTATTAATATTATTTTTTTTTTAATTTTACATTTCAATTCGTAATAATGATTTTTATACTAAGCAAATTATGAAGTAATAGCATGATGCTATACAATTCTTTCCAAATAACATAGAGCTAAGATTTTCAATTTCCATTTCGTAATAAATTAAAATATGCATGTAATGATACCTTTAAACCCCGAGAAAAATTTAATCTGTAAGTAAAGTTACTCTAATCTTAAGAAAAGAGGAAACGTAATAACAACAAAAAAGTTGTTCCAAAGGTCTTCATAGTGATACTAGCGAGATTATAACTACCTTTTTATTAAACTTGATGTTTTATTTCAAAATACTTTGCCTTAAATAAATTCTAGAAAAATATATTAAAATACTATCAACTGGGTATACCTCGTCAGACTTTCAATAGAAAATTCGTGTATTTATGGAGGGGGAGAAAGAAAATGTGGAAAAAAGTTTCTCTTTTTTCTAGATTTCGAGGGGTGCTAAATGAATTGATTCATTATGTTTGAATATACTTTCATTTTTTTCCAATAAAAATTCAAAAGTTATAATAAATTTTAAAACGCAGACAAAGTAACTAAGATATCCAAGGTAAGTTTGACTTTGAAGAAAATAAATTTTATTTTTCTTAAAGAAAAAATAATAATATTTATTCTATATTTATATTAGGTAATTGATTCTCATTATAAAAATTCAGTAGACACAAATTTTAACGATTCAATGGGTCGGGAATTTTCACAGAGTACATTTCCTCAGGAAATTTCTCTTTTACTCAGATTCATGCTCGTAAGATCTAAATTTATTCGTCAATTATAATACTTTTATCTTTTCATTTTCGTCCTTTTCATCAGAACTGGTTGAGTCATGAGTATAAATGATTGGTTAAGTCACAATTAAAATGCTGATATATATATATATATATATGACAATTCATGGTGCTCAGCAGAACAATGACATGAAAATTAATGAATAAGACTCAACAATCACATTCCTCCAATTTGTATTTTATGCAACACTTATCCTACCAACTGTATCACTCGAATTCATCAATTTTTCTAAGGTGCTCAAACTGTTTGCTTACGGTCAATTTGGAAAATAAATAGCTTCACGGTGATTAATTAATGGAATAACTGTTACTAACATTAAAAAACATTAAAAAAATAATATAGCATTACAAACAAAGTAACTTCACTGGGCAAAGTCAACCCTGCTGGCGTCAATGAAATTTTTCAAACATTAGAAAATGAATAAATAAAACATACTAAATTCATTTTATGGTTACTTTTCTTTATATCCTTTTAGTTTATTTTCTCAAGTTTTATATTTTATTTCCTTAAATTTAAAGTGGCATTTATGAATTAAATTTCAGTAAACATTTCTACCTGCCAAGTTCGGCATGCAAATTGTATTCTTCCTTGACATCTGTTCCTATTTTCACTTGAACATTTCTTGGCTCAAAAGCTAAATATATGTCTGAAACTGTAAAAAAAAAGTTTTTTAGACATTTTACTCATTGCAATGCAAAACACTGTTTTATGATTAAGTTTTTCAGTTAAAATGACAAGATCGCATTTTGTCATAATAAATGTTGTTAATGGCAGCAGAAACGGTATAACGATTATTGAAGTATACTGGATAAATACTACTCAGAGTGGCATTTATCATTTAAAAATCTCCCAAGTCATGGTTCTTTTTCGAAAAAAATGTTTTCTAGACACACTTTTATTCACAAATTTCTCAAAGAAATAAAAAAAATTTGACGGATTGAATTTAAATAGACTTTCAATTTTTAATATCATAATATGATTCATGACAACATCATATTTTTAAAAAAAAATCTTTCGGACCATCATCAGTTATCATAATTTAAAAAAAAAAATTCTCTGAGTTTAAAAGAGGCAGCAAGTACACTGTTTCTTATTTCAGTTTTGTTAAATATTAAAAAAAAATTATAACAGTAGGTACATTTGTTTCATCAAATGAAAATTTAAAAATGAAAAAATACCATAATATATTTCATATCTTCAATTATATCACTATTTCTAAGAGTTCTTTGGAAACTTACTTTAAATAATTATTTCACAATAAAGGAAATATGGTAGAGCATTATGCGATATCTAAATGTTTTGTAGAAATTACAAATGTTCATTAGATATATCTGTATGTGATTTAAAATTAAATAATAATTATCATTCAACATTTAAATTCATGGACAGTTGAGATACACAGTAAAAAATTTCAGAGCAAATTACGGTATAATATACCGGCCATAAGTACCATTTTACCGTAAGATACTATACCGTAAATTAATTACAGTAATTCAGTGATTAATATTTAATTAATAATATTTATTAATATTAATTTTATTAGAGAATCCAGTGAGTAATATTTAATTAGAGTAATTCAGTGATTTTACGGTAATAATTACTATTAAAATTATGGTTTATCAAATTTTTGTTCTATAGCATGCTTCAGTAAAAATGTATTTTACGGTAAAAAATATCGACACTCTGAGTGCCGGTACTTTTTACTATAAGTTTATCCAAAATTTTCTACAGAATAATATTTTACAGAAATATGCATTTTATTCAGGCATTTAACTGCTTTTCATGCATATATTTATTATATAATTATTTTACAGAATTATTTTACATTTTCAAACGTTTTAACGGCGCTACAAATTTATAGTTAAATTGCATCAAAATAGCTTTCCTAATTTTTTTTTTAAATAAAATGCTCATTAACTTTTTGATCATGCAATTATGAATCATGTTAACATCAGAATAAACTGTTTTTATCTGTAGTTAAAAACTTTGATTTTTTTTAAGGTAAGACAAAAGTCAAAGTTGGGTATCTTCTTTCGATTGAGTAGTTCTTCCTCTGCCGAAGATATTATCCAAAACAAACAATCTCACCTCTACCTTCCTTTCAACTAATTTGTTTTTCCTCTGATGAGTTCAAAGTTTTTAAACATCTTATGCTAAAAGTAAGACAGTGAGATTTTGAAACTGATCCGGTGGGCAACATTCCAAGCAGAAGAAAAAACTAAGTTCATGGCACATTTCGGAAGTAGGGTGGTTAGAGTGAAAAAAAAACCGCATCTAAGCAAAGTTCTTTTTTCTTTTTTTTCATTCGAATTCTAGATTTTTTTTACTTATATATATATGAGAACAGACCTATTTTATTTAGGGAGCTTACTAAAGTTGAGTTGTTTTACTTAGAAATAGGCTAATGTTTTTATCTGGAGGGAAACAAGACATTCCCCAGAGAAAACTAATAAACTAATTATCTTTTTCCTTTTCAGACAATTTGCCCTACCAATGCTTTCAATGCTTTTTATTCTATTTTGGTTTTTTATTCTATTGCATGAGATTTTTGTTACCAATTCTTAAATACTTTTAATTCGCTGTTTTAAAATCTGAAATCGGGTTCTCTCCCCAAGCCAGATTTCTTTTTTTGAATTATTACATTTTTGGTCCATTTTTTGTCAAAATGTACAAGTTTAAAAGTGTCATATGTAACAGGTAGTCTCATAAACTTCTAATAGAATTAGGGCACATCATCAGGATTATACCCGGAAACGTCATATTACACCACTAGGGACTCTTCCCTATTATGAACTATTTCTTCGTGTGCTTCTGAACAGGTCAAAATAGGGAAGAGTCCCTATTCGCTTGCGAAGACAATTCTGGGCATGCGTTTCTATGTAATTTTAATCCTGATGATGTGCCCTAACTCCGTTGAAAGTCTTCCGCAACACTTACGGAACCCCATGTTATATATGACGTTTTTAAACCTGTGCAATTCAACAAAAATAGACGAAAAAATAATTTTAAAAAAAGTCTGCAGCTTTAAGTGGATTTTTTAGAGTTATTGGTACTAACTTTGGATTTGAAACCCCCACCCCGAATTAGGTAAGATCAAGTATTTGTATAAATTCAAGAAAAAATAATAATAATAAATAAATAAATAAATAAACAAAAATTTAAAAAAATTGTTTTCCAGTGTTATTAATAAAATAAAAAAAAATAAAAGCGCATATTATTTCAGATATCTAAGAATTTAACTTCAAGTGATATTTTAAAATGTTACGTTTGTTAACCCTCGTTTCATAGCAACGCATATTTAGTGAGAATAAAGTTAGAAATCCTGTTATACGAAATATATTTATGAAAATTAAAGTCTAAAAACTTAAAATGATCGTGTTAAATTTTATAGAATACTAATATGTAATAAATTTAATTCCATACGTTTTTTTGATAGCTATAGCTATAACAAACTGTTGCAATGCTGTACCATAGTTTGGCAGTTCCTGTTGTTGTACTTGATATTAATTTCTATGGAAATACTATGCTAAAAATTAATGTATTTTTAATTAATATTTAATGCACTAGAAGTTTTCAGCTGTAAAATGAATTTCAACATAGTGAATTGAATTTTATTATTGTTATTAAACATAGTTTATACAATCATAGGATAGATTGCTTCAAATTTATTTGCAGGACTAATGTACGAGTAAAACATTAATAAATGTTTGCTTCGAAATTTTTCAAACAAAACATTTAAAAAAAAAAAGTGCGTCATTCGCACACTTTAAATAAAATACCAGAAAATAAAGATGTTTAAATGAAATAAAGAAGACATCCATCCCGAAGTAATTTCCGTAGTAAGGGTTAAAATTTAAATCATTGTAAAAGAATTTTTATATGTTTTGAATAGAGCCTTGAATTCAAAAAACTGTACTTGTTTTTTGTTTTGATCATAGTAATTAATACGAGACAATTTAGTTTTTGTAACTTATATTCCACCAATGTATGCTACTTGCTCACTTACGTGAAATAATTTGAAGTGTCCTAATTTGAAGTATTTTTTCCAACTCATTATTTATTCATTGGTCAATTATTTTATTAGTCAATTAAAATTTGGTAATATAATGTAAGTTTTGGAGAAAAAAAATTTTTAAAAACTAATTAATAAAAAATAATATAAAATTATAAAAAAAATAATAAAGAATTTCTCATCTTTAATATTATTTTCCCTTTAATAATGATGTACAATATCTAGTTTACTAATTTTTAGTAAAGAGTACTGTATTAAAATATAAATGCTGAACATTTTAATATATGTGGAGCAATCCAATATATTTTATAATATAGTAAACTATAAATATATAAGCGAAAAGAACTTTTGTTTTGGAATTGTCAAACATTTTCATATTATTCTCACTAGCTCGCTAAAAACAAAATTAACTGGGAATGACTGAAAAGTGATATTCGTCTGAGATGAAACTGAAAAAACTGTTGACACAAGACTTAACTGAAGTGTCATTTCCTGGTAATAAATCCTTTCCATTTACCTAGACTGAAAAAAATACATACTGTATTTAAGTCCAAAACTAAACGAATGATTAACACCTACAACTCTTCCGTTTCTCTAATTCTTTTTGAGTATCCAGACATTTTACAGCGCGATTATGAGCTGTGATAACCTTTGGGTGAAGAATTCGAAACGTGACACCCTCTAAGATGACTTGTAGGAACAGATGTCACCCTGCAGATTTTTATAAGTCGTTGCCAAACTTTAAATACTAAATAATAGAAAATTCCTACTCGTCTGGATGATGTGAAGTTGTTCTCTTTTGAGACATGACGTAATTCGGAGTTCTTTCATAAAAGAGTTTGCCAAAACGACAAGTATCTTGCCAGAAAACGTATACAACTCTTTCAAGAAATCTGTTTTCTCTGTCTTCCTCCATTCACCTTGAAGATTAATGTGCTATAGAAATAAACCATAGCGTATATGCAACTATTTTCGTAGTTTACGAACTGGAATTTGTTTATTAACTTAAATTTAGGTGTTAAAAAATTAAATGAAAAGATTTAGCTGAGTATTTGGGAAACTTTAATTAATTTTTGTTTCAGTATAAGAGCGATGTCAAAGGAATTTTTATGTGGACATACCGTTTCTAAGGAAAATTTCAATATATACCGTAACAAATACACCGAAGAGCCATTACATTATGACCACACTCCATCTATAACAAAGGGCTCTCCCAGGTTTTCATGGTTTCTCGCCCAGGAACAATGTTTTCATGGGGCACATTAGGACCCATAATCCTCATAGAACAATCCCTGACGTCTGTAAGCTACTTGAACATAGTTGCAGACCAGGTTCACCCATTCATGGCGACAGTTTTTCCTGCGGGGGATGGTGTTTACCAACAGGATAATGCACCATGTCGTAAGGGTCGAATCGTCATGGATTGGTTCGAGGAACATTCCAGTGACTTTCAAGTCATGTTTTGGCCCCCAAATTTACCTGACCTTAATCCAATAGAGCATTTGCGGTCCTACTTGGAAAACCAAATTCGTGCTGCCACTCCACCCCCTCACAATGTGAGGGAATTACAGGACCAGTTGGTGAGCGCTTGGTACCAGATACCTCAGACTACCTATCAGCACCTTGTAGAATCAATGCCATCGCGGGTGCCAGCAGTTTTGAGGGCTAAAGGTGGTCCTACATGCTATTAGCAGGGAGGTCATAATGTAATGGCTCTTCGGTATATATGCTGATTGGTTCTACAGTAGTAAACACAGCTTATGAAGTCATTTGTAAACATACTTGTAGGAGTGTTTGTGCCAACCAAATTTTATCCTTGCGAATAAAAATTATAAGCTTGTGGGCCACGATCTTTTGCTTTTGCAGTGTTAGGCAAAAATTATTTTGACCAAACGTCAGATCTTCCTTTTTTCGTTTTTATTCATGTCTTTGACTAAATTGTATTGAAAACTGCTGATTAATACAGTAGAAAACATATGGGAGACTCTTTTTACTATTTTATTGATCAATCGTAATTTATCTGTCATCTAATTTAGTGGATATTCGATAGCCCACTCAAAATATTCAAAAAAAGATACTGTTTTCCTGTGGTCTAAAAGTATTAGACATAAATAAGGAATTGCATTCGCATTTCTAATATTTTTCATTCCTTTATCATAATAAAACTTAGTTTGATTTACGATTGCAGGAGCGGCGTGCAGAGATCTAAGAATGCCCGTGGCAAACTTTTCGATTAGATGTCCTTTAATAGGCAGCACTTAATGAAGCAAATGAATCAAAAGGTTGGAACGATATGCATTTAGAAAAATTTGAACCCATAATTGCAAGCATAAATTATTCTATGGCAAAAAATTTTTTTATTTTAAACAAATTGTGTACTCGTAGTTTTTTTTAATCTAAAAAAGAAGTTAATGGCCCCTAATTTATGATTTAACTTGTTTAAAAAAATTTAATTTACTCCTCTTAAAATGTCTTAATTTTAAGTTTATTACAAAATGAGTCTCACTGAATCACCTTCTGCACATCCCTGAATTGCAGCAATAAGAAACTAAAACTTTAAATAAACACAAATATTAATAAAAGTATATAATTATAGAATAATTAATTAAAAATTAATTAATAAAAATGATACGAGAGGAGAATTACATTAAAAGTACTAGTAACAACTATTATATAGAAATCGTAAACCGATAACTTATGTCTAAGTATATCCTCACTGTTCATTTGAGTAATATAGTTATAAAACCAAACAAAAGTATTATTTTCGAAGTTTAGAAAATTAGAAATTCTTTACAAATAATATACTATTTTTTTGTCTTTATTAATCATCTATAATGAAAAAAATCACGTTTTTAATAATCAATAAATTGTTATAAACAATAATAAGAGCAGGGGGAGTTTTTGCTTACCACTTTTCTCCTCTGTTTCATCTACATAGATCATTATCTAAGACAGACTCTGCAACAAAAACATGCTATAGAGTTTACTATTCTGAAGCAATTAATAAACTTTTTGCATGGATAAAGTAAATTAAACTTCTACATATTCATGGAAGTAAAATCATAAAGAATACAAAAACGTAATAAAATGAGATTTAGTGATATAAATAAAATTTATGATGTATATATGTATGCGGAAATTGTTTTTGATATTTGTAAAATATGACAACCAGTCATATCTCCGTACATTTCTGTACAATAATTTATTTTGCATCATTTCTGTATTGAAAAAAACTCTTTTTATACAGGAGTTCATTCCAGAAATATTTTAATTCCTATATGCTCAGGAGTTTACCAAAGTTTCAATAGCGATAAATATTTCTAATAGTGAAGACGGACTAGGAACATTGTTCACCATGAGTAACCATTTAAAATGAACTACTGTTTACGTACTGACTAAGCAAATAACGAAATAAAAAATAAAGGGCTTTCATTTAAATTCATTTATTAAGTGTGTTTCTTTTTTTTCAGTTTATGTTTGAAAAACGGCAACAGTCAAAGAAAGAGCGGTTTTGGTTAGCAAACCAAAATTTAGCATTCTTAGAAAACAAATATTTTAAAAAAAAGTTAAATCCTTCGCAAACAAAATTTTTGGAAAAGAGCTTATGAATTAAAATTTTTCAACCAATTAATTGAATTTTTCTTTAAAAAAATTTACTGGAAAATGGGATAGACATATTTTGTTTTATGTAAGACTTAAGTGCACAGCACTGTCAACAAAATTGTAGTGTAATACTTCAGTAAGCAGTGAATAAACATAAAGACTTTTAAAGGTAATAAAATTAATTATAAAAATAAGTTTTGATTAAATTTATGAAATTATAAATTCATACAAAGGTCACTGTGAAATTTTGAAGATATGCACACGCGAGAAGCGGCTGTAAAGATATTATTTGGATTTCACAATATATAAATTTTTATCTGTGCAGACGATTTTTTGACTAATTGATTCTATATAGTTTGCCGGGGGAAAAGCTCAAGACAGAATGAAATATAGCGTTGACGCAAATATATTTTTATGCTAAGATCTACTAGGATTTTAAGGGGGGATTAAGAAGAATGTTCTAAAACTAGAAATGAAAAGCCATTTCCTGCTACTGTATTCAGATAGCAAACAGATTTCCCCACAAGTTGCAGCTGGATACTTCTAAAATTTCGTAAATATTACTTCTAATGAGTAGGAGTACTTCAAAAATTTCGGAATAACCCTGCGCATTTATCTGAACAAATTTATCGTTTGATATATTTTGTATATCACTTCTAGAAATTTGCCGATACTTTGATATTTTTGGACGAAAGTTTTATGTTTTATTAATTTTTTCTTCGTTATAGTTTTACCTATTGTGTATCTATGAACTATTTTTCTCAAGCTTTATAAAAGTCGAATTTCATTTATTCAGTAAATAACACTGTATGGGATAATAGTGACTAGGAATTTTATTCAGTTTGTTTATGCGTTGTTAATTAGTTTTCTTACAGCCATTAAGATTTTTGGAGTCATCGTAAAAAATATCACATTACATAAAAGCAATGCGATAATTTAGCGAAGCCTATTTATATCACTCGTCGTTTCGTATTCAGTTTTTAACGTAATTTATATGTTTTAAATTAAGTTAAATTGTTATTTTTTTACTTTAATATATTATTTTTCAATTCAAAACTGAAGTTGTAATAAATTCTGGCTTAAATATAACTATGAATTTAACACATACATTCTAATAGCAATTTCTAGTATGATAGGTTAATTTAAATTTCGATACTCAAAAGCAATAAAAAATTAGAAACACAAACAATTTAATTATTAAACAATGAAATATGGATACACAAAAATTTATTGGTTCAATTTTAGCCATATTATAGTAAACTACTTTACAACATTTTTGAAACCTGGAACAAAAACATACTCAAATGGATAAAATCTCAATCATTAGGTTAGCGAAATTGCATTTAAAAAAAAAAAAAAAAAAAAAAAAAAAAAAAAAAAAAAAACTTATATTGCTATTGCTTACACTAGTTTCGGTGAAGTCTGAAAAGCTGTTTTAGCTACTTACTTTTAAAAATTAAAATTTATTTCTGAATGTCTATGTTTTTAGCATAAAATATGATAAGTTTTTAATAAAAGTTAATTTATATTAATTTAATTATATTAAAGTAAATAATAATGATGCCGCAAAATTATATCACAACCCAAAAAAAGCTTTTCTAAAAAATAGAATAGATATTTTCTTTTTTTTTAAATTTTTTGTATTTGATTTATACTTTAAGCATTTAACTAATCAAGGTTTCAGTATGATTATAAAATCTTACAACTAACCCATAGAATTATTTATAACAAAAATACAAAAGCTTGAATATGAATTCAAAAGTGTTTGAAATAATTTCATCAAATAAAATTACTATTTTTTTGTATTTCAGTGACTTTAGGTATTAAAAAGCATATTCGAATTACTTACTCCTTGGATTACGGTTAAAAATATATATCCAGTGATTATGGAATCTTTTTAACAAGCTTATTTAGTTTGTTTTAATAATATAGTCGTTTTTTATTAATAATAACTTACAAAAACCCTTTTCAAACGCAAACAATTTTGAAATATATACAGATTTAAATTCAAGAAATATTTATAAAGTTTAAAAACATATCATTATTAAAAAAATTTTAAATATCTAAGATCGTAATGCAATCAAAATAAAAGAATTATTAACAAATAGAACATTTTTAAGGGGAATTCAAAATAATCTTTGAGGTAAAATTATTTGTGTATTTATTTTTTTTTGTTCATAATAATAATTTCAATAGTGATGGTAATTAAATTAAAATCGTTTATTTTATAATAATCCCATTTTTTAGAACATATGTTTGATATATATTACATTTATAACAAAAGATGAAGTTTTATAAATATTGATAATAATTGTTTAATAATTTTAGTAACCCTCAATTATTAGTATTAACCATAGTAGTTATCTTTAGTGTGAACTACAATCACAATCACTTACAGAAATAAATATTACAATATATATTTCTAATTTAAATAAAATATTGACGAACATAACATTACATATTTGAGCATTAATATGTTTAAATATTTATACCAGAAATGTTTTTATAATTACTTACAATGAATGCTTCCTAATAAATTTAATATTTTTATGATGATGTTTTGAACAAATTTCGATGCCAAACTATTTATAAAACTATTTGTTTTCTGTTCGTTTGTTTACATTAAAAAGATCTAGTTCCACAAAAAAATCACCCTCAAACAATCTGCTCTAGATAATAGACAACAACGCATACGCGTGTTGTCAGTTTTCTAAAAATAACGGCCGCCTGAATTATGACTCAAAAATTAAACTACAACTAAAATATTAAAAGAAAAAAAAAACACTGGAATGCAACTTATCTATCAGACGGTTATAAGTTCAAAAATTTTGAAATCTGAAAAATGCATACCTAAACTGAAAACTCCTTACGATTTTTGAAGCTTTGATCATGAGTTTAACTGTCACGCCAAGTTTTCCACATGAAAACTCTCAACATTATCCACTGTTTCGAACTCATGAAAGTGAAAAAACGGAGCACTTAAAAAACTCAAAAGATTTCCTTCTGTGAGTGGCGATCTCTCGTTTCTATCCCTTGGAGGTTCTGCGACTGCGCATTATTTTGTGACTGTGACGTCATTTCTTGGTTGGGGGATTCTGCATGATATGCAAAAGTATTCGTTTGTTTGTATAACTTGGACTGTTGTTTTTTATGGGTTAAATTTATCTTCTAACTAGAAGTTTCGACCGTTTAAATGAGTAGAAACTCTCTTAAATCAATACTATTATATTTTCTCATGTCATGGCATTCTTGGATTCCTTTAAGTATTTTTGTAAAATAAATAATGAGCGTTGAGTGTTTTATAGATACTCAGAAATCTAAATTGGGTGAGAGATTTTTTTTCGTTCAAAAATTAGTCGTTATTTCTAAAATAACACCTTACTTCATTTTACCGAGGTCTTATTCTTCTTAATTGAAATATGAACTGAAATGAATGATTGTTTTTCTATTGATTTAAAATTCAAAAGACAAATATATTTCCAGTTAGTTTCAGTTTTTAAAAGAAAAATACAATTTATTTTTAGATTTGATCCATTGCAAATTTTACTTTAAAATAATATAAATAAAGGTGCTAAAAAAGTAGTTGAGTTTTTGTTATTATTATTAGTATTACTTAAATTACTAAATTAGAGACAGACTTAAGAAATTACTGAAGGCTAAAAAATATATTAATTAATTATTCATTTCATATTTTGATAATTCTTTTGTTTTAAAACAAATATATAAAATTGCACTCAAAATTTATATTAAAATATTTATTTCTGAGTAATATAAACAAAAATATAGGACTATTAAGTAATTTAAATTGTATTCTACGACTTTTCTTATCTTGAACTTAGAAAAAATAACCAGAATTTCAAGTGTAGTTACCGTATAAAACGACAGTCCAACTTTCAAAAATAATATTCATGAGAAATGTTAATATTTGAAATAAATCAAGTAGGAAACCGAGTTCATACTTGTGACAAGATTTCGAACATAGAAATTTCAATATTTTAAAAAATTTAGAATGTTTTTAAAACTATATATGTTTGTTAATTAAATATGATATTTCATGAATATTCAGAAATTTAAAAGCCTATTTTCACAAATTTTGAAATGTTATTAGTAAAGGTAATTAGTTAAAACCAAGCATAAAAATCAAATTAAAATCAACATCCCTTGAAAATCAACCAAAAATTGCACCTGAAATTTATATCAAAAATGAAATGATAATTCATACTAAAAACAATAAATATAATGCAACTTGTAACTAAAGATAATATTTTAATAAAAAAATATCTTTGGTTAAGGATTAAAAATATGAGCAAATTGTTTTCAATTGTTATTACTTTGATATATGATTTAGGCAATAATAATGCAAAATTTTAAAAGAGAATATATTTTAGCTAGCATAATAAATGATAATATATAGAAAATATGTTAGTGTTTACAGCCGACTTTTTTTAAATATTTGCATTTTTGGCATTTTTGGTAATGTTTACGAACGTTTGATTCATCTACTTCAAGAATTAAATTTCTCACTTAGTTTTGCAATCAACCGCTGCTGTCTACACCGCAAAATGAAGGACATTTCTCTTCTTCAGAATGCTATGACTTTGTTTACAAACATATCTCGTATAAAAAACACAAAATCTTAATGCGCAACTAAGCGTTCTGATTTTAAATGTTGCACTGATTCATGTTATGTATTCGATGCATTATTTTGTAACTCAAAATTGAAAACTTCAGATTTCAATTTTGTTTTATTTTATTTTTATTGTGAAAATACTATTTAAAACGTTTTACCAATTTTTAATAAAAGACCTTTCTGCAAATGAATTTCAATTTGATATAAAACAAGAAAAGCATAATCTACAAAACATTAAATTTTATATGTAATAAAGAAAGTTGAAATAATAGAAATAACTATTGAGTAAAACCAGGTAATTGCCATAAAATTATACAATGATAAGAAAGAATTTGTATTAATTCAAATTTGTACGTCATCATCATCATCATAGTTGGCCAGACAGCCCAATGTGAGCCAATGCCTTCCTCTGAAGATTTATTCATGACGACTTCTGATTCACCTTTGATCTCCAATTCTTTTCATTAATTGCGAGAAAATCAGACTCCACTGAGTCAGCCCATCTCAACCGCGGCCTTCCCCGCTTTCTTGTTCCATTGGGTCTAAAAAGCTGTAACGTTTTTATTGTATTGTCATCACTCATTTGAATCACGTGGGCCATCCAATTCATTCAATTTATTTTTATGTGTTTAATAATATCGGGTTGTTTAAAAATCTTGAACAGTTCAAAGTTAAATCTCCTTCTCCAGTTATTGTTTTCATTTACACCACAAATTCGTACGAAGTTGTAAAAAAACACATAAAAAGTTTGGAAAAATATTCTAATAAACTCATTTATCAGTCATTGGTATTACTAGAATATTTTTTGTATTATATTATTATTGATATTACTAGAATATTTTTGGCATTACATTATAATTGGTATTACATTATCTAGCATTTCTTATTGTTTATTGAGAGAGATATAGATCAAAATTGCTTATAACAAATCAGATCGTGTTTTTAAGGAAAATATATGATGGTTTAAATTCTGTCAATAAAAAAGTTAGGTGATTGTGAAAAAACTTTTGTTTTCAATTACGTATAATAATTGCTTTTTTTGAATTCACATTTAATTGAGTAAATATGCATTTTTAAAACAAGCTCCTCAAAATTATCAATTTAATTACAAAAATATATTCATATTAATTAAAAATTTTGTATTGTCAAAATGTAATTAATTATTTATAGTGAAATTTAGATAAACATATAAATGTCACTTGATATTTTATCGATGCAATTTTTCTGATAATTTTTTTTTTTGTAAAATTGAATCAATTTTGTAAAAATAATTCTGTTGAATGTATTTCTAAGGATTAACTTCATGAAACTGATTATCTTAACGTTATTTTATAAAATAATTATTTTATAACGTTATTTTATAAAATGGAATAGGTATTATAAAAATACAGCGAACAAATTTTTAAATATACCAAAATACTTATACATCAAAAATAAGATTTAAAACTTCCATAGTATAATCAATGAGATTCAAAAAATTAAAAAGAAAATAAGTGACATGTGAAAAACCAGAAATTATGGAAAAGGGGATATTTAGGATTTATTATATTTATGCTTTTATTATATTATTTTGCTTTCATTGCTATTATTTTGAAGAAAATAAATTTACGTTTATAATTTTATTTGTGTGTGTCACATTTTAATCAACGAACTAAAAGTATGTTTAATTATATGTTCAATGTTATCAAAAGTGTTCAAGCAAAACTTAATATCAAAAAATATTAAAAACACTGAAACTAATAATTTTTTTTATTTGTTGTGAAAAAATTATACGTTTTCGACAATGAATGTGAGATTTTGCGTGTTCTTCGTTGGCATTAAAAACGAGCACCCTACTATATTAGAATACATTTGAATATATTTCGTCAAAGTAACTGTCTTTTTACTTCAAGACTGATGATACACGGAGGAGAAACGTAAGGTCTAAACTACCAGAATACAGTGTTTCTAACTCTAGAATAATTCTAGAATAGAACTTCCAGAACTCTAGAACTTCCAGAATAAGGGACTCGTATTTCTGGCTTTACGGGAACAGAGAAAAGCTTGGTAATTTTTACCGAAGCACTTCGGTAATGATTTTGGTAAAATTAACAGCAAAATATGGTCTTATAATATATGGTTTTATAATATATGTTTGGGTAAATGTGGTAAAATTTGATAATTTTATCATGGTACCTAAGAGAATGGCATAAAAACCATCTATTTGATGAAGTTCACTTTTCAGTTTTTTATTTATTACTACATGTGTAATAATAAAAACTATAATTTTGAAAACTAAAATTTCCGGTAAATCGTTACTATATGAGTGGAAAAATTACCAAATAAATGACTCAAATATCGTATATTTTGGGTTTTATTATTTTAATTATGGTTTCTTTTACCAGAAATGTCATTACCATACAGTACAAAAATTTAACCAGGATTTTCTTCTTTGTGTACAAACCAGTAAACAAAGTAACTCCTAGTATATAAATGCAATTCATGAAAAAAACTAAAATAATATCACAATGCAAAACAGTGTTACTTAGAAGATGTAGCATTCTCTTCCGATTGTATGGCTTAGATTAGTTTAATTTTAATTTCTGGTTTATTCACTTACTACCATACAACCATATCGAAGCATTAATAGGGTTTATATTTCACCGTCTTCTTTATAGCGTAACTCAAAATTAAATGACTAAATATTAAGGGCAGTAAAGTGAGGATAAGTTAATGTAGACATATCAAGAAATAACAATAAAACATTTAGAAAATGATGTTTATTTGTTACATTTCGTTCTGAATTACTTACATTATACACTGTACAACAAATGAAATGACATTTTATCCGATTTACCAAATAAACAATATATAAAACAAGTGGGAATGAACATTATATGAAACAGTTTTCTATTAGTATCCTAGAGTTTCTTAGATTTAAGTATTTACCTATGTGTGACTCTTCAGAATCGGAATTCTGATGAACTATTCTTCAAGTATAGGACATGAAATTACTTTTAAAAATGAAATATGTTAATGTAATGTGCTTAATGTCTTAAATATGCTAAGTATTCTTGTATGACGTAAAAGTTAAAGACGAATATTTTTATAAGACTATCGCCATCTTAGATTCAGACTCCTCGTAAGTTTGTACAAGAAACATTAATGTGTAGAAAGGAGAAATATGCATTTTAAGTACAATTTTATTGCAACGAAAATCCCTTTCTATTTGCATACCGTAAGTATCAGTACTAAAAATTTAACGGGAGTTTTCATTTATATTGAAACCTTTTATTAAAGTCTTATTGTTTATTAGTACTTTGAAGCACTTAAGTATTCTGAGCATATTAAATAGCAATGTTTTAGAAATTTATTTATAAATTCATAATTCAGTGATTTTTGATTTAAAAACAAAGATTAACTATGTCAAAAACATTATTTCAATTCATTTAAAATGAACTTGAGTAAACTGTTTTGTAAAATTCATCTCTATTTAAACAAGTTTTCATTAAAATTCATTTTTAATTTGTTAAGATTTTTTTAACCTAAAATAAGCCTCTCTTGCATTTCGACTTATTTTGGAATTAATAAAATTGATCAAAATGCATTTGACAGGTAGGTATTATTAAACAGTACTTAAATTTTAATTTTGCTCACTATTCATTCTTGAATTAAATTTTATTTACTATTCAATTGCTTTTCTTTTCTTCAAAATTAATATAAAAAATTACTCAAAAGCACACTATTTTGTTAACAATTATAAAATTTTATATAACTACTTATAAATATATTGCATTTTTAAAAGGAAAAAAATGCTAACAATTTTGTGTTGTATCTATTTTAAACATTTTCTAGTTTAATAATTTCCTAGTTTTGCTTAGAGATTCATAATTCACTGATTTTGAATATAAAAACAGAGATTAACTATGTCAAAAGCGTTATTTTAATTATTTTTAAATTAAATTGGGTAAATTATTTAGTCAAATTCATTATTATTTTATCATGCGCATCCTTCATACATTATTATAAAAAAAATTTTAATCAAATTTCATTTTCAGTTTGTTAAGAATTTTTTTGAAGATTTTTTTAAGAAGATACACTGTTCTTACTTTAATCTCCAGTTGTTTTTTCATTAAAATTAACTATAAAACAACTCAAAATCATAGGAACTTAAAAAAATAGTTTGATAAGCAGTTCTGTTAACACTGCTAATATTTTTATCGAATTTGTTTTAATAATATCTTAACTTAATAAATGGTCTAAAATTAATTAGAATTATTTGAGTTTTTATTATTAGAACACACTTTAACACAATTTATATCAGTTGTGAGTATATTAGTTTTAATATCGTAAAATACTATTCGTAATTCATACGCATGGTGAAGTTATAAATTTCATTTGTTCAAATCATACCATTTTTGAATGATTTAAAAAAAAATTTTATAAATATAGTACAAATAAATAAAATAAAACAATTTGCTAAGAAATTAATGTCTATTTAAAATTCCATGTCTATTAAAAATTCCCCAGCTTTATAATAACTTCAAAATGTACATTTAAGTCTATGTATTTGTCAATACATTATCCATGTATACCTTCAAAACTTTATTATCGTAAAACACTGTTTTGTATGTGTATTGTATAGGTTATGAATATAATTAGCTCAAGGACGAAAACTCTTAAATTACTAGTTCATACAATTCCAGAAAAGTTATTATTCTAATATTTAGCTTTTTTTATATCAATTAATGAAAAATTGAAGTAAAAGCAATGACAAAGTTTGGTGAATATTTTACATTTACTTGATATGTTAAACGTAAGATTTATAACAAATTTTAACGTTGTAATTCAAAATTTTTTAACAATCGATAAACTCGGCGTCATGAAAAATACATTTTGGCACTACAATTAGCTAACCAATTTTTCTTAAAAAAATTATTAACATTAATTATAGAAGTTCAAAATTCCATAAACTATAAATTTAGTATTGTTATAAACAATATATGAAATAGGTTTTTCCTTTGTATTTCAAATTAAAATAATATAAGTTTGAAGCTCTTTTTGGATATAAACTAAATCAAAAAATCTTAACTACGCAAACAAAAATAATTATAGAACTTTAATATAGCCTGTGCTTTGAGCTGTATTTAAGCTCCCTGTTTTTGATCAATGCTTAGATAAATCAATTGATATGAATGAAATTTTTTAAATTTAAACTAGTAAAAAGGTAATTATTATTAATCGGTTAAAATACAACGATGCTCAGAAATCACATACCACTAATATATTAATTATGCCTAATATGTTAAAATATCATGCTTGTTTAAAATACTGTTTTTATGTACCTTAACTATTTCAGAAACAACTTTTTTTTAAAAGAAATGCATAATATTAAATTATTTAAAAAATTATTTCCAAAAAATTAAATTTCAAAATAAGTTTTATAAGTTATTTAGATTATGTGACGTATTAAAAAACAATTGCGTGATTTATGCATAGTTTTAAAACTCCTTGCTTAAGTTAATAATATCATATAAAAAAGATTATATGAACTTATCGTAAAGAAACTTTTTACTCTAAATAACTTATGATTTAACTTTAAAAGCTTTAACTTAAAGTAAGTTTCATGCTTCTTATTTATATATATACATTGCTGCTGAAATAAACGACAGCATAAAATTGATAGTAAACGTCAAAGATAACACCATAATTTTTGATTTTTATCTTGCCCTTTTTTCTAAATGAGCAGGTTAAAACTAAATTTTAACAATTGATAAACTTTTATAAGAATAAAACCAACAAACCAGATCTGCATAGATAAATTGTATAAAACATTATTGTAACTCGGCTATATTTTAAACTAGCAACATATTCTATACATCAAATAAGTGCAATTTTTAAATTTTTGGAAAATATTTTCGTGAGAACCAGATTTTCGTGCACTATATAAAGAATCTAACTGACAAAGATATTAAAAGTTACATAATGGAAAAAAAGCAAATTGTTCATATACTATATTTATGCTATATTTTAACTTTCAATTAAAATTTCAACATTATGAGGACCTTTAAAAGGATTTTTTTTTATTTGAAATTAGATATTTCTTTTAGATACTATAATAGTTGTTTAGATTAATTGTTAAAAATTCAAAATTTTTTAGCAAATTTCTACTGATTTATCCTACAAAATTGCATAAAGTACGTAAATATAAGAAAAATACATGAGTTATTCCTCATGCCTCAAAAACCCAAGAGATTCAACAAGTACGTAATAAAGAAATCGATTAAATATTAAAATGTTTTTTGACCACAGCAATATTTTAAAAATTTGAGAGGCAAGGAACAAATCGAAAAAAAAATCCCTCTTTTGCTTAAATTGAATAATTTAATTGCCTTACTGTTATAACCTTTTTTTAAAGCTTTTTTATTGGTAAATAAAAAAAATGGTAATAATTAAAGTTCTCCACATTTTGGAGAAAAAAATATTTTTTTTCAAAAAAAAATAATGATTTTAAAAGTATTGTGTCCACTTAAAGGTATTTTAAATTATGATATAAAATTAAAATAGTAATATATGCCTACAACATTCTAGTAAATTTCATACATTTAATCATTAAAATTATGCGTAATAATTTTAGAACATGGAAACTATTTGTAAATCAATTTCTAACTCTGTTTTTAACGAGAATTTAGCCTCAAACTTTCTACGTGAAAACAATATAACAATGCATTAAAAATCATCAAGAAACTATACGACTATATCAACTCCACAATTCTTTTTGTTTCAATGTATAAAGATACACACATCAATGATCGTTTACAAAATATTTTTTTGATTCATTTTTGACGCCGCTATACTAGGAAACTATATTAACAATTCATTCAAATACAACAAACATTTCAGCTGCCTGTTTCTAAAACTGCCTCTATATTTCATTAACTATAAACAGCCGGAATCGTAAACTAAGTTCCCATTTCATTAATCTCGTTAGCAAATAAGCCTCATATATTACACGCTTTCCTATTTACTTTTCTCCAAAAATGTATACCTATACAATCATTTATACAGAATCAAAAACAAGGATTAACATTGTACTGGCTCTATACTTCATAAAAATATTTCAGCTTTATACTTTTTCTGTTCTATAGCAGAATTAAGTTCATTCAAAGCTTTCTCTATGCATAGATGGAAACGCTTTTGCTTGAAGTGCGTAGCTCTAATTGCCATATATTTGTCCATCCTTAAGGTGAAACACGCTTTGAGCTGGTACTTCAAAATGCACCAGTGAACAAACAGTTGCCGCGCTCATAGTGCAATATTTGGTTCCGAGTTCCCTTATATATTGCACTTAAATTAATTATCATATGGCCGTTTCGAAAGTGTATGTCACATTGAAGGAAGGATTGTCGAACGAATTTTTCCGAATGTACTCCGATCCTGTGTCATCGGCGGGGTCTCCTGTCTTGAATGTGGCTAGTTTTGGTGGTGGGCCCCATTCATCAGTAGGTTGCATGAGAAGTCTCAGTTTCTGTAAAGAAAGCAAATAATAGTATTTGTAATTATTATTAAGTTATTACATTAAGTTATTAGTAATATTATTAAGCTATTACAGTAATACGAATTCAAATTATGAAAATTTCAGCGAATGAACAATATTTCAAATATACTTCAATATTAATACAGTGCTACACTGTTAGAAATTTCTCGGAAAAAAGTGTTAAATAACAATTTATTGAATGGTTATTTTACCATATTTAATCAAAACAGTCAAATAACCATAAATAAAATGGTAAACAAACTGTTACATTTGATAAAAACTGTTTATTAACTGCTTTCACCTAATATGGTTAAACAACCAGAATTTTATCGCACCCACTAGAACCACATAATGAATCTACTTAGTTCTTTGCAACTGCATACATATCATAACCGAGCGGGCTTATCAGTCAATCTCATGACCGGCAGAACTGGAGTTCGAGTCCTAGTGTTGACACCACAATATTTCCTCCTTTCCCTTCAACACATGAAGAATTTCCAGAGTCCGGCACTCTCCAATGCCCATTACCTTTCGATAAACCGAGCTCCTATGTCTATTTAAATAATAATTATTATTATTTTTACGTTTTTAAAAAATGCTAGTAATAAATGGTTAAAAAACCGTTTAGTTTTGTATTCGTTTAGTATGGTATAAAACCGTTTGGTTTTATAACCATACTTTTTGTAAATGGTTTCAAAACCATAAAGGAAAAAATTTTCTTTACCGTAAACTTTACGGTTAATCAGATGGACAGACAGCTGCCAGTTATTTTACCGTAATTTTAAAATGAAGATTTTAACAGTGTAGGTTGAACAACTTTAGCCAACTTCCTAAGTTTCATGATACTGTGGTTCATTTTTAACTCAAACATGTTTCAATTTTTCCCCTTATTAAGGTTGCAGTAAATTTATTTTAAGTTACATTTTATTATAGCCCGTAAATACATTTTACATTGGGTACATTAAGGTACTTTTCACTACACCATCCTCAATGCTATGTGTTTCTGGTTCATTTTTGTTTCACCTACTCTTTCAAGTTTGTCGTAGTAGCAGTGTAACACTATGCACAAATCCTTTTTCTAGGAAATATAAAATAATAATAATATAAAATAAAAACTTAACTTTACACTAAATATGTAATTTGTAAGTAATGAATACATACTGTAAAAGATTATGCATCAAATTACGGCATAAAGTGCGAGTACTTTGTGGGAGTCATCCGCAAAATCTATTTTTACTATAAAATACCAAGCAATACATTTTACAGTAATGCTTATTTAATTGCAGTGATTCCGTGATTTTACTGTAATTTTGTAAAGATTTTTCTGTAATTTGATTCAGATTTTTTGTTCCGTAACATGTTCCTATTAAAATGAATTTTATGGTAAAAAGTACAATATTCTCTAAGTACTTTTATCGTAATTTTATCTGGAATTTTTAAATGTGTACCTTATAAAGCGAATACTGATTACTTTAAAAGCGAATACTGACTTTCCCTAATTCTTTCACTTGAACTCAGTTAAGAAGAGTCTATTAACACGAACGTGAAAGTGTTTCTATTAGTAATAAATCGTTTGTATGTAAGAATTTATTTTTAGTTTTATGTTTTCATAAGAATATTGTCTTACTTCTCGGAAAGGTCTTTTTGTTGTAGTGCATATTTTGTAAAACATCAAAGCTACTATAACCACCACAGGAAAGAAAGCAATCACCCAACCAACAGCATTGGCCCAAGTAGGATATACATAGTTTCCACTCTTTGCCGGAGTGTATTCAATCCAGTTGAACACCAGAATGAACTGAAAATAACATATTTACATAAATTAAAAAGTTTTATTTTGAAACTATGCTAAAGCATGTAAACATATAAACAGCAACATAAGATGGATTTAGAATATATACAGAGTAACTTCAAATGTTTTTAATAAATAATTATTCAGGATAATTATTCAATAAATATTCAGGATAATTATTCAATAATTATTCATAATAATTGTTCAATAATTATTCAGTATAATTATTCAATAATTATTCTGGATAATTATTCACTAATTATTCAGGATAATTAATAAAAAATTGCTCAGGAACAAATTCAAATTTTTTTTGTTATTTAATATCGGAATATCTACTAGATTATAATTCAAATAAATTCAATTATGTAAGGGCACATTCTCGTAAAATACATTCTCAGTGTGCGTCGATATCAACGTTTCTAAATATTGCGTTCTCTACGGTTTACTGCGTTTCTGCGTTACGTTTCTGCGGATTCTAATTTTTTTAGACTGTGAAACTCAATCCGGTCAAGCTTTTCTTGGCGCATACTTAAACCCGGCTTAATAAATGAAGTTCATTAGTTGTTTTGGATAAAGGATAGTGAGCTCGACTCGCAATGAAGAGAACCAGGTTCGAATCCTTGTGATGACTTATCGATTCGAATTCCGTACCCAGCACACACCGACCACAGTGATGACGTAAAATATCCTCAGTGGTAAACGGACCACGGGTTAGAGTTGTTTTGTCGCCAGGCTAACCTTGGGAGATTTTCGTAATTTTCCTTTCCATGTAACATAAATGCATGTTAGTCCCATCAAAAAACCCTCCACGAAAGCATATTTCTCCCACTACTTGATCTAGAATAGGTTCCATTGTCTTCTGGATTGGGTTTAAAATTACAAGTCTACGGAGATGAACATTGGCAGTAGTAAACCTTAAATTGGGTCGTCTGTTCGGAGACGGTAATAAAAAAATTATTCAAAAATAATGTAATGCTGAGGGTGAAATATTTTCATAATTTTATCAAGTATAGTCATAAAGTAAAGATTTATGCTAAGGTGTTAGAATCACAGGTATTGAACGGCATCTATATTAGCTCTTGCATGAGCTACACATGATTAAAATGAACCGTCTTCGAACAAAGAAATTAAATAAGCGTTGAGAATGGTAATGAGAGAAGCATAGTTTTAATTTGATTACTTTATTCAGAAATGAAAATTATGATGATAGGCACACTACTTGACATTTTTTTGAGAAGCAAACTATTTTTTAAATTTTTTAATGCATATATATTGTAACTGAAAAAAGCAAAACTATCATAAATTTTGCTATTCTTTTCATTGTCATTTTACTTATTAATTTACTTAATAATTTCCTATCAATAACCGAGCTATTAATTGAATAACGTATTATTGATTGGATAAAAGCATAATTGTTTCATAAATCATTTTATTTTATAATTTTATAACCGTCGTTGAACAGCCAACGCAATTTTGAGTTTACGACTACCAATGTTCCACTCCGTAGCCTTGTAGTTTTGAACCCAATCGAGAAGACAAGGGATCACCTGATTAAGTATAGGGAGAAATTAGCCTTCGTGGATGAATTTTTGATGAAACAAACCTGCATTTGCGTTACATGGAAAAGAAAACCACTGAAACCTCCCATGGTTAATCCGATGGTAAGGGGGCTCTAACCGGTCGTCCGCCTACCACTGAGGATATTTTACGTCACCACTGCGGTAGGTGCAAGCCGGATGCGGAATTCGTATCAACCAGTCATCGGGATTCCAACCCAGTTCACCTCAATCTTCTGAGCCACAACTCTCTCGGGACAACTCTTTCACAAAACTCTAGAGAACCACACAACACCTCTAGGGCTTTTGAACATTTGATATGTTTCTAACAGTCCCATCTTAAATCATCTTCGTTTCTTTGAACAATTGAACAGGTCCTAATGCCTTCAATCCCATCTTTCTCAACAAACGATTAGTCAGATTTCTGTAACTTTTTTTTCAAGGTTTGATATAAGACAAAATTAAGAAAATTTGTTCCTGTATATTGACCATAGTTGCAAAATATTTAATATAATGTATTTCTTTTGGATCTCTTCTGAAATTATGATAAAAATTTCAAGGTTTATCTATAAAATGAAGAAAAAGTTTAAGAATCAAGTGAGAAATAAAGTAGTTTTTAGAATATTCAAAAATATGGTTAATAAATTAATATTAAACTAAAAAAATGCACATGGGATGCATTATCATCGAAAGCAATAAAATCGGTTGTCGACTGATATACAATTTTTGATCGGCATTTGTTATACCTAGTCACCCTGTTGCCGATTGCGACTGTTACTGTTTATAAGGTCTTCTACATTAGTATTATTATATAAACTTATCTTAATAATACATTAGTATTCTTATATTAGCTCCATATGGTTTAAACATTAGTTCGAAAATTCTAACTTGTATTACTTTATATATAATTATTTTGAAAATTAATTAATTTGAAAATATATTATAATTAATAATTTAATATAATTAATTTGAATATAATATAATTAATTTGAATGTAATATAATTAATAATTTAATAATTTAATATAATTAATAATTTAATATAATTAATTTGAATATAATATAATTAATATATGTAATTATTTTGAAAAAAAATCTGTATTAACGATGGTCATAAACAGAATATAGCATATATTACACATTCTATAACTAAACTCTAACAAATGTTAAGTGATTATATTTTTTTTTACTATTTGCTTAGTTTTGGCTAAATTTTTGTAGTTCTTAAAACTTTAGCACCTTAACACTAAGAAAGCTTTATCACCCCTAACAGCAAGAAAAGCTTTAAAACATTAGGCGCTTAATTTAGCAAAGTAATATACTGGGTTTTCTTTTCTAGAAAAGCCAGAGAAAATGCACTTCAAAACATTTCTTTTTCTTCAGAGGTGAAAACAAATTCTATCAAGGAGTCATTCTTTTGAGGCAGCTGGTGTCCTTGAAAGTTAACGTCTTGTGCCTCTTACAAGAACAAGCAAGGCTCTTGTCTTTCTCAAAACTGGAGCACTGAACATGGATGGAACAATTAATTTGTTTGAAAGGCTGCATTAAATTTGGAATTTCTCGACAACTTAATGACAAAATAGGAGTTCAGACAGACTGAATTTGCATACTCTCTCTTTCGACTAAGCCTTCTTTCTTTATTTTTCATTGCGAGTTGAAATATTAAATATCTGGTTATAAGCTGCTGACAAGGGAATAAATGCTTATTGTTTCATTTCTGAAAATAAAAAAAAGTAGTTTCGAGTTTTTTTTGTTTTTTGAATGATGCAAAGTAAAGGTTTTTTTCTTAGAATTTCAAAACAAATAAATTAAAACAGCAGAACCTTTTTCCTATAGATCTATAATTCCTATAACAGAAACTAATTCGAGCTTATTTTAATATTTTATAGAAAGAAAAGTATTTTTAATTCCCAAAATAAGGATTTTTAATGAAATTTAAACCATTTTGTATGCAATAAATTATTATCATCGGTAAAATGATTTTCCCAATGAATTAATTTTCAATTGCGTTTTCGTGATTAAAACAGTTATACGTATCTCATATTTTTTTTGCATTCATTTAGCATTTATCCCATATAAAAGAATGATAAATATAAATTTGAAAGGGAAATGCATGGTTCACCAGTTCTATGCAGTAATACGCTTTAAAATGAAGTGTAACACTATGTAGTAGTGCACTTAAATTTAATAATTTAAATGATAAATTAATTGCTGTTAAGGATATTTACACTCAAATAATATTGACAAAGGTTTTTTTAATAAAAATGTATGCATATTTTTTTACATACATTTCCGTATTAAGTATCATTAAGTATTCCGTATTAAGTATCCGTATCATTAAAGGGTCGAAACAAGCTAACCAGATGATTTGGGTTGATATCTATATCTAATATAGATATTGATGCAAATATAGATGAGCATAAACTAATTATTGTAGGGCGAAGATTATTGTTGATCTACTTAAAAAAGGTTACTCTCTATATGTAATATAATATCAAATATAGATATTGATGCAAATATAGATGAGTATAAAGTAATTATTGTAGGGCGAAGATTATTGTTGATCTACGTAAAAAATGCTACTATATATCTAATATAATATCAAATATAGATATTGATGCAAATATAGATGAGCATAAAGTAATTATTGTAGCGCTAAGATTATTGTTGATGTACTTAAAAAAAGATGCTCTCTATCTCTATATCTAGTATAGATATTGAAGCAAATATAGATGAACATAAAATAACTATTGTAGGGCGAATATTATTGTTGATCTACTTAAAAAAGGTTGCTCTCTATATCTAATATAATATCAAATATAGATATTGATACAAATTTAGAGGAGCAAAAAGTAGTTATTGTAGGACGGGAAAAATGGGAGTTAAAACTCACCTAGTCAGATTTGGTGTATAATGAGTTATGGCTAATAAAAAGTAAGTGCAATATTTAGGATTCTTTGATAAAATATGAAAATAGAGTGACAGGGCATAAAGATTCAATGTGGCGTACACTCTTCACGTTGTCAATTCAGTTGCGCACATCTTTAAATAATTTCATAAGAAAGTGAGTAATCACACATTTAAAAAAAAATTTATAGTCCATGTGTTACATAAAATAATTTACAGATAAACTGTTAAATCATATTTTTAAGAATCGTTATGTGGCCTTTAGTTTTCCTACAAATTAATTTTCATTTATTTATTTAATTTTTTCTGTTTAATAGTTTCTCAGAGTTTACGAATGCAGTATGTGAGATGCTTAACTTTTTAAGAACTGGACATGCATTCATTAATTTAATAAAAGCCATAATCCATGCTTAAAAGTTAAACTTTTCATTTTTTTGGATCTGTATAATTGTTATTGTATTCAATAAGATTTTTCCTAATTTTGGAGACAAAGAATTTGTTGACTCAAATCTTTTTCAGAAAAAGTTATTCATTTAATTTGAAATCCTGATCTTGTAACTTTTGTCCAAGTAAAATATTAAAAATTTGTGTATTTTTAAGTTCATTTTCTTACCACTAATACTGCTGGAGTAAGATATTTCCACATAATAGCCCAGAAATAAGCCCATCCTGCAGATCTTGTTCCAATCATTTTCTCAATGTCTCGTAGAAACTTTTCAGCACCTAAAATATTAAATTAAATCGTTATTATTAATTTCAATTTTTTCAAAAATGTAAGTAAGATGTTAGAAGAATATGAAATTTGAATGAGTTATAATTTTTATATCTTCACAAATTGAATTAAAAGAATAAATCTAGCATTTAAATTGTTTAAAAGTGCCTTTATTTTTCACTTTATTTTAGCCATACATAAAGCATAACTATTTATTATTATTCGTATGTTTATGCCGTAAGCTAATCGGAAAATCTGGATCTTTGCAAACAGTCAACGTCACTTAGCATTGCGTTTACGAGGCTTATTGCAATAAGTCTAGAAATGACGCCTTCAGTTTGCAAAAGTGTCGAATTTTCCAACAGTGAAAAGTGATAGTTATAAAATTTGAAAACGATATATTTTCGTATTAAATTAATTATTGAAATAAAGTATAACAAAATGCATAAATAAGACAATCATTTTTGCATTAAATACCAATACCATATTTGTAAGAGGCAGATCAAATATTACGTAAGCATGTTCTTGACAATTTTAGGTTCTCTTTTCGTAAGCAAAGATAGGCAAACTGCATATCTCCTTCCTTGCTTACGTAAAAAAGTCGTAACAATCCCCTTGTTTTTTGTTTCCTTTAACTTCGACTTTTACTGGAGTGATCTTATTTTAAAGATTTCAGCATTAAATTCAAATAACAGATGGTAAACCTTTACACGGAATAAAATTAGCCTATAAAATTTTATTTTATGAAATTTTTAAATTCCTTGATTTTTTTCAATTTTATCTTTATCTAAATTGAACTTTTATTTTAAATTTAACTTTTGTGTATCCCATGTAATTATTTTTCGAAATTTCTTACTACATTTTTACGTATTTAATAAAATTACAAAGAGCAAAAAAACTCTGATAAATTATGGCATTGTCGGTTAATGACATTTCTAGTAAAAAAAATCACCCTTAAAAAAACAGAAATATGTGATTTTTAAATCATTCATTTTATGATTTTTCCATTCATATGGTAATGGCTTACAGGCAATTCTAGTTTTTAAAATTACAGCTCTTATTATCGCACAATTAGTAAACAAAAACAAAACTGAGAAATAAATATAACAGTGTAAATGAATTTTATAAAACACTTTAAGGTATCATGAATAAAGTTACCTAATTTTACCACATTTACCAAATTTTATAACAGATTATAAAACCATATTTTATCTATAAAAATTTCCGATCTTTTCGGTGCTCGCATAGAACTAGAAATACGGGAAATTTCACCATATTCTGGTATTTTATATCATACTTTTTTCTCAACGTGAAAACAAGGGAATTTCAAATTTATACATCATGTCTGACCCCTTGTTGGTCAAAATATGCAAATATCAAATCCGGCCATACGCAATATTTGAACGGCCCCTGAAAATGTATTACCATAATTCCAGGATATCAAAAGACATTCACAAATCGCTATGATCAGAACTGAAAAATTGGCCGCATACTTGTCAAACAATTGGAGCCAATAAACACCAGCCTAGAAGGGGAGAAAAACGAATTTATTTTAAACAGTATTTAAAAATTACATGCATGAAAAAAGAGCTTTAATTGCAATTTCTAAAATTATATAATACGAAAATTAGACCTAAAACATGCTGTTGCGGCGATGATTCAGTACAGAAATGGTGCAAATGACAAGAAAGACCAAATTTAAGTATCAAATTTAATAACTATAAGCAATTAAACAAGATAATTTGATGTGGGATTTCCATTTCCTGCCAAAAAAGTGATAGATATTTATAACTTGGATGATTGATTACAGCGCCCTCTATTGGTGTGGTAGAAATGCGTAACAAATGCAGTCAAAAACAGAAAGCAGAGTTCTGACGTCACAAGTCACAAAAAAAAGAAGATGAAAGTTGTCAAATTTATACCAGTTTTGACTTCAGGAACCCCACTATGCAATGGTTAGTGAAAATTAACCACGACCCAACGATCCAATCATGACGCGCCTGCATTCTGGCCTGACTTGAAGTTGCCTTCGCTGGGTAACGATTTTCTGAAAGCAGGTTAGGAGAATCAGAAGTGAAAAATCGGTTTTTCGTTCGTATTGTGACATCACGAGCCAGATATCAGGCTCGTGTAAATATGATGTTACCATAGGATGTTACCCTGGATGTTACGTAGCAAACTTTCATTACGCAGTAAAGAAGAAAGAGCCATATTACTGTTTCTTTTTAGATAAATTTCTTTGAAACTTTTACAATTGTGAAATGGCCAGGGAGTAACGTCTAAAACGTATAAGTCTGAAGCATCTACGTTATACTTTCCTGCCTTCCAGCAAGACCGTAAATGAAAGATGCATTAGCGATGAATTATATTTCACATATTTAATCTTGTAAATAATAGATATAAATGTTTAAAAGATTAATTATTCATATGTCATTAAAGTAATAACAAAGTCATTTTAATATTGATACACTTAAAAAAAATCACATTTGATAATAGCGATTAGTATGTATGCGCTTCCATAAGGTCATGTTACAATTTTTATGAATTATTGGAGGGAAGGTAGATAATTTCTTTGCTATACATTTTTTTAATTATTCGAATGAAGAATTAAAAAATATTGTAATAGAGCTCAATAATAATATTTAAATAAGGGAAACAATGTATTGAAACTCTAACCGACCAAGGCAACCCAATGGAGAAATCCAAATTTATAGAAAATATTATATAGATAATAGTCAATGCTAATATTCAAAAATGTAAATATTTCTGTAGCTAAAATTTAGAAACTTTCCTTGTTTCAAAAATAGATGCAGACACCGCCGATTGTTTCGTGGGTTATAATTTTTAATTTTTGCTTTTTCACCCTCCTCTTTTGCAACTTTTTTTCCTCTCAAAAACTTTTGATAGTTCTATATCTTTTGACTTCCATTTTCTTACTGGCTGATTTAAAGTATTTTACTTAAGCAAACATTGTTCATTTTCAGTATTTTTCGTCGCCATTTTTTGGTTAGTATTTTTGGCCTGAGGATCATGTTTTAGGGCATCTCAGAAACTGGTTTCAGTTTTAAATTTTGGAATAAATTGATTTGTGAATTTTAGTGTATGGCTTTTACCTTTAATGTCATAATCGCAAGGTTTTTATTTTTCTTAATATTTCAAAAATTTATTATTTCGGATAAAGGAGGGCCTTCTAACGTAAGGTGACCTCCACCCAACTTGATATATAAACTAACTTTTGATAGTTTTAAAATCTCAATTGTTCTGATCAGTCACAATATGTATTGTTAAGAATCTGATAACTTTTACATTTTTCTTAACCTTATCATAAATTGTAACCTCAAACGTGTTTAATTGATTTTTAGTAAAGACTTTAGTGGTATACATTGGTTATAACACCCGGTAAAACTATAAAATAAAAACTTAAACAACGCACTCAAACTGAGACAAAATATTGTTTCTTACATTTGTTGTAAATATGATTCCACCTAGATAACCTAGGATACTTAAAATAAAGACCACCCATGTTTTCTTCTCTCTCAATGCAGGAAAACGATCAAGTATTGCTGTTGTAACAGTCTCCAAAAGTGCAAACTGAAAAAAAACATTTATAATTGAATATTAAATCTTTGTAAGTTTTTTTAAAAGTAATTTTGCAATCAACACATTTCTTCAGATTTTTTATCTACTTATGGCAAAAGAGTAAGATTTTTCCTTTACAAAATTCTGTGTAACGAAAAGCTATAGCAAACATTTATAACTTTTCATTTGTAATATATACTAATGGTATTATGGCCTAAATCTTTCTGGAAGGTGATAATGAAAAATCTAGAAAGAAGTGGTCAATAAATATCCGCCCTCATTGTTTTTTGTTACCTTTAACAATTAGATTTCTAAATATTTTCTGATTATAGCTAACTAACTAAATTCCTCTAAACTCTATTTTATGTGCAATATTGTTTCTATCAATGCAATTACAATATGAAAAACTTTGCATACAACATACAATGCAATAGATTTAATGAGATTATAATATTTAATGAAAATTAAGTAAGCATAATTGATATTATTAATGTGATTGTTGATTTCAAATATAATATATCAGAATAAAGACATAAATAAAGAAATAATCCTAAGTAACTAACATAATTATTCATGTAAAATTAAGAGGTAACTCACAATACAAGAAACTGGAATATTGATAATTTTATTCTAAGAAAATTATCATTGGAATTTATGTTATAGAACTATAATTCAATGCTATTGTTAGAGCTATTATTCAACAAGAAGCATAACTAAAGATCTCGCAGTGGACTGATTGTTAAGACACGGTTCCCAGCAGTACACCGAAGTTAAGCATCACTGGATGCGGTCAGTGTGCTGGTGGGTGACCACCTGGATCAGTCTGCGTAGGAATAGAGGGTACGCTGTATTGGTCCTCGTTAAACTGTTCTACCGTAAAGTGCTCGATTTCACGTGCGGGTCGTCGGGCTACCGAAGCGGGAGTACCATCCCCTCTGCAGAGGATCAAAATTGTGATGGCATGTCCTCGGATCATCCTCAGGGGTGTTTCCCAGACCATCGCCAATAGCCCATTGTGCAGCTCTAGTGCGACTAAAATTAACAACAACATAATTAAAGTCTTTATTTGTCAAGACAAAACATACCTGGCTGTCAAGTCCCAGGGTGAGAAGCATGAAGAAAAAGAGGAATGCCCAAAGTGGAGCTACAGGTAGTCTCGCAACTACCTCTGGATAGACAATGAATGCGAGACCAGCACCTTGGTCAACCACTCGATCAACTTCCACATTGAGCTCGTGAGCCAAGTATCCAATAACTGAGAATATGACGAAGCCAGCAAAGATACTCGTCAAGACGTTGCTCACGGACACGATAAGTGAATCCCTAGAGAAATATGAATTTTTAGAAACATTTCACAATCTATGCCACAAATTGGCAAATTAGCCAAACATGTACATAACTGCTTACCGGTATTTTTTACAGACTTATAATAAACATTTAAAAGCATCACATTTTAAGAATTTAAAAGCTAGAATTTAATAAAGAGAATATTATTTTTAACTCAATAAAGAATAGTAGAAAAACAATTGTTCTGAAATTAGTGATCGAATTTTTATGAATATTGTTTGAAAAATTACAATACTAAAAAGAAAATTCATAAATCTTTAATATACAGTTAAGGCAGGTCACACACTAAGGAAAGCAAACGGTAAAAAGGAGGCATACATATGGCGAATTCCAATACTTTTGGTTTAGGATGAGCAGAGGTGATGTGCGCATGCAAAAGCATGAGAATTTGCCTCTTGTATGTCTCTTACTTACACCTCGCTCCCTCAGTGCATTGCTTGACTTGGGTAACGAACTCGAATTTGTTATATACTGGATCACAGTTTCTTAAACTATTCTCCACGAAGCATTTAGTGTTTCGCAAAGCATTTACCAGAACTCCGAGAAAAATCAAGAACGTGTTTAAAATTAAGAAATTATGAATGGAAAATAAAAAGTTAAATTAATTCTTAAAAAAAGGAACTTTGGAAAATTTCTTTTGATAATATGATATTTTGTGCTTTTAGTGTGTAAGGAGAAAAAATTAAGTATCTATTGTTCATCACCGTTCAGGAAAAGGAAAATTTAATGTATGGAGAAAAAAAAACGTTATTTAATGTGTCAGTTTTTCGTCCGTTATTCGATTCGGACATATTCACTCTTAAAATCAGCACTAGACTATATTATCCACACCTTAGTCTAACCTAATCCGAATTCCCAGATAAGAATTTCTAATAGAGTATGCGTTTATCGAAGCCAAATAAATTTTTTTAGCAAAACTTATTGTACCAAAATAATAAATTGTGAATCTGTAATACTTGCCTAAAATTTATTTATTTATTTATTTGTATATACTCTTGCTGTTAGCAGTGAGAAATAAGTCTACAGCAAAATATTTAAATGGAATTATGCTGCGTGCATAAATGGCGAAATAACACAGCATTGCTATTAATATTTTGTCGTTCAATTTATTAGATGCAGCATTTACAATTTTAAAGGTGCTCCGTAGCAAAAAAAATTTTTGAGATCATCTGATTTAGATGCAACTAGAAACAAATTAATTTTGCTGGTGAGATTTTGATCTAGAACACGTGATAATTTCTTACCCTTGCAAGAAAGGTGTAAATTTAGCTATATTCTCGAGGTCATAAGGTCACTGGCATGCTTAAGTGATTTTTGTACATTATATCAATTTTTCCGATCATTGACATTCAGGCAATATACCCATGAAATAAATCGACATTTGAATATGTCAGAGATTTATTTTTGTTATATTTCATATCCAAAATTACTTTTTTTTTAAACTTCAAATTTTACAATTTAAACAATCATTCGGTCACTAAGCATTTTTTCCCCATTGTTATTCGTAATCGCACTTAATGTTAAATTTAGGAGAAACATTTAAAGTCAATATTAAGATAACATTTAGATTTACAAATTATATTTCTTGAATTTAAACAAATGTTATCTGTTTCGGCTTCATATTAAATTGAGCTTAATATTTATAATAATGACCTTGAAGACTCTAGATTCGTCTACTCTCTCAAATCTTTACACGCTTTTATGTTTGATCGTTACTTAGAAATTTTTTAGTATTGTTCCAATTTTAAACAGACTTCGTTATACATAGTATTCTTTTCTATAGTCAAAATCTGAATTAATAGCAAAGAATAATTACTACACTATTGTAATACAAAATGAACAAATTAGCGACTGAAAGTATTTTTACAAACTATAATAACCCTATAAAAGCTTAAATTAATTTTCGTATTTATACTAATTAATTGCGTCGTAAATATGTGCTTCATTTCATTTTCTAAATTATCATAATTAATAAAAATTACGTATGTTAACTTAATTTGTTGCCATATCACTTACTTGTAACAGTTGTTGTGGAATTTATTATAGGAAGAAAGAGTAATGAGACCACCCCAAGCTGGACTCAGAGCAAAGAAAATCTGGACGGCAGCGTCACCCCATACCTATGCAGAAAAAGTTTCATAAATATATCTATACATATATTTATGAAATGAATTATAAATGAATTATTTGAAAAAGGAATTAGATAAATATGTTCATCGTTAGAAATGTTAAACAAATATTTATATGTTAAATATAAAAAATTTAAAAAATATCTCCATAATATAAATAAAATAAAGCATTACAAATACTTTTTTTACGAATTTAAGTATTAAAAAGAAAATTTGTAGAAAAAATATATTAATTTTGCCCACTTCTCACAAAGAAATGTTTTTACCAAAATAAATTGTTAATCTTAACAATATTTAATAGTTCACTATGTCTGTCATCTGTCAGCATTAACATTTTTTCTCTAAAATTATAAGCTACTCTTTTTGATGAAGATTGTTCAAAAATATATAAATAGCCAAATCTTATCCTCTCCTCCTCAAATAGGTATTTACTTTATTTATTTTATATCCATAGGTGAACAGCTGATTTAATTTTTGAATTTACGACAACTAATGCTAAACTCTGGAGCCTAGTAATTTTGAACCCAATCCAGAAGACCAAAAAACTCCTGGATTAAGTATTTTATTTTATTTTATGACCGCCGTTGAGCAGTCTACCCAATTTTTGGGTTTACGGCTACTAATGCTCAACGCCGTAGCCTTGTAATTTTGTAAGAAATTTGTCTTTGTGGAGGACTTTATGATGGAATCAACAAGCATTTGCATTACATGGAAAAAATAAACATTCCACAGTTAGCCTGACGGCAAGGGGACTCTAACCCATGATTCATCTACCACTGAGGATATTTTGAGTCGTAGGATATTAGGGTATGGAATTTGTTTCGACCAGCCATGACTGACTTTCGAACCTGGATCACCTTATTCAGAGGCAAGCTACTATACTTAGTATACTAAGTCAACACGGCTCGTTGTTTACTTATTAAAAAAAGCAGAAAGTTGAAAATGTTAACTGAATTTCTAATGAGGTAACGGAACTTCTAATGAGATTCTTCTTCGCTTTCTAATAAGGTAAACCGGGTTCGAATCTCTGCTAAGGCTGGTCGATACTAATTCCACACTCAGCTCTCACCGACCTTAGGGCTGACTTAAAATATCCTCAGTGGTTGACAGATAAATAGATTGAGTCCCCTTGCCGTCAGACTATCCGTCAAAAGCTTTCGTGGTTTTTCTCTCCATGTAACACAATGCCGGTTACTTTCAACAAGAAGTCCTCCGCGAAGGAAAATTTCACTCAATACTTGATCCCGGAGTTTCTTTGTCGTTTGGATTACGTACAAAATTACGCAGCTACGGAGTTGAACGTGGATAGTCGTAAACTTAAAAATTGAATCGGCTGTTCAACGATAGTTATAAAATATATCACTAAATTGAATTTTTTTTCTAGAATATTAGTATTCACGTTTTTTTTTCCTCTTAATATTTCTTGATATCATTCATCATCAAACAATTTCAAAGATCCACTGTCTCCATCATGTCAAAAACCCACTGTTCCCTATAAGAATGTAATTTTATATGGTAAAGCAAGAAAGAAAAATGTTAGAAATCGGTCAAATAGTTCGGAAGAAATGTACAATTCTTTTTGAAATTTGGCAATAAATTATAGTTACAAGTACTTAAGGAATTAAAAACAATTTAATATACAGATTATGAATAAGTAATATTCAAAAAAAGTATATTACCTGGGCTGTGAGCAATCGACTCCAATTGGGTGTGACGTAGAAGATTATTCCTTCTAGTGCACCAGGCAACGTCACTCCTCGGAAGAACAGTATAATCAACACCACGTATGGGAACAACGCCGTAAAGTAAACCACCTTAAAAAGGTATAATTAATAATCAATTTCTCAATGTTACTTTAAACAGATATATATATGTTGTACAAACTCATTAGAAACATGCAATTTCATTTTAAAATCATAAGCTAACTAAATGAATTTGCCTTTCAGCTTTCTAGTTATATTCCGTCGGTGGTGTGGTGGTTTAAAATAACACACACACCAACATTTAACCCCACGCCTATGCCCCTAAAGGGGCATTTATTGGTTAATGGTTAAGGTTGGGAGACAAGACAGATACTGTAACCTCCTTAGAAATTAGCAAGTCTTCATACAAGCGGGGAAGATTAATCAAAGATGAAAAAATTCTATTATAAGCTTCATATAGAACTAAATTTTTGTCCCACCGAACGAAATCAATATAGATATAATATTGATATAATATCAAACAAAAGATAATTTTAATAAAATCCAATCCTCCACCTGTCAAACAATTTTATAGGGGATGAATGAAAAATGTCTTGCTAATTTTAGGGCACAATAACGTTTGAAATTAATAAAGTAAATAAGTTCTGTTAAACATAATTATTCTAATAGACTAAACATGCATACAGCTGCATGCATGCCTTAGTAGAAGATAAATTTTTCCTCTCTTAAGCGTAGTTTTTACTCTAGGAGATAATAATAGGATATAATCAAGGATATAATCTAGAATATGATCAATAATTTGTGCAATTCAATCAAACATCTGTCATCGAAATGTTTATCAACGAAATAATTTGTCATCTAGTTTAGATAATCCATTCTAACAAAGAACGGCTTGGAGAGATGTTTAAAAGTACTTAAAAGAAAATAATAGTTAGAAAAAAATAGTCTCCACAAAATTACTGAAAAACGCTAGTGTTTAACAGCAAATAACTTGGAAAAAAAATTTTAAAAGAAATTTTATAAGTTAATATTTAAATTAAGTTAGCTAGCAATTTTATCAATTGAATAATTAATTCAAAATTAGGTAATAAATATTAAGTTAACTTTTTAGATAAGTTTTAATGGTTCAAATCCAACTTTATCAATTAAAATATTTACTGTTTACCAAAAATTTCGATTCCACTAAGGAAAGAAAATATTTCGTCGATTCTAACATTTTACAGTTCAGACAATGTTCTATAGATGGCAGCACTAAACTAATTTTATTTCGTTGTTTCGTTCATAGATGTCAGCACCAAAAATGTCATGCCAAAAAATTTTTCTTCTAACTCATAGTGACAGAAACATAAGAATAACACTTTATATTTAATTAAATTGAAGTAATTTTTTTCCTCTTTACAATTTACTGACGTTTTAGTAGAACTAAAATTCAATTACAATGGAGCTATAATGTTTTTTTGAAAAATAAATTCCATGAGATATTATTGGTCCTCATAAGGCATTTGTTAAAATAAATAAATAATTAACAAATAAATGAATAAGAAAAATAAGAAATAAATAATAACTTGATTGGCTTCATTCCGAATCAAAAAATGAATTTTCAACCGCAAGATAAGATACAATTACCAGGGATTTCAAGCTTCTGTTCTTTTATTTAAATATTCCATTTTGTTTTTTATAATTTTTATCATGTTTCACATAAACTTCGTTTTATTACTGTCTCGAAATCTTAGAAATAGAGGCTAATATATTGCGCTTTCTTAATGAAATGAAAGATTCTTAAGATTAGTTGAATTTTAACATAATTTTTTCTAAAAATTTAATTAATTATGGATTAAATTTATTAACTTAAAAACATTATTATAAAATGTAAATTTTGGAATTTTTATGAAAAAAATTTTGTTTTTTAAATGCATTTCTAAATCTAATTAAGCTATTTTTAATATGTTACATAAAATAGATTTTTTAACTAATTAATAATGTTTAAAATAAAATTATAAATTGCTCTCGTTTCCTCTGATAATTAACCTAATGTTATAAACTAATTTTTGAAAATTGGGAGTGCAAAACCCAATGATGGGAAATAATCTGAAATGTTAAAAATAATAATATTCTCAAATAATAATATTCTCAAATAATAATGTCAAATATTACTACAGAAAGCAATCGTTAAAAATAAATAGTCAAAAATAAATACAAGGTGATCTTAACTCCAGGCTTGTATCTTTAAAATATGTTTGAACAGTTTAAATAATATTTGATAGATGGCAGCACATAGCTTACAATACCTAAAAGGTGTAAGAGATGAAACAAAGTAATAAGTAATTCTGGATTCATTCTCCTTCGGTATGGTGACAAAGGGGAAATATGTTAAATTCTAAATAAGCTTTTAATCCTCTTTGTTTTAATTTTCACAAATAAACTGATGTGGGATATTTATTCAGATATGATGTTCTATATTTATTTTATATGTGTCTTCGAAACATGTAAAATACATGCGCGTAAAAGACATATTTTATATTCTCTAAAGTACAATTCTGCAATCAATATTTTTTTGAAATGTATTGCCCATTTTTCTCTTCAGATTTTTGATAATTACCTTTGTTTTGTGTAATTTACATTAAAAGAAATATTCAACATGATTAAATGGATATTCAGGAGTATAAGCAAGAATAAAATTAAATTTTTAAAAAAAATCAGTATTAAATAGCTTAACTAAAGCCACAACGTAATTCTATTGCATTGCATTCTTGAGAAAAAGTTCATTGTTTTTTCTTTCCTAATATAATAAAACGGTATAGTGCTTTCAAATGATAATTTGCCGTTAAAAATTTGTTAAATAACAATAAAATTAATATTATTAGTATCCGGGACCGGGATATGAAAATCTAAATTACATGCCTACGGAGTTGAACATTAGTCGTAAACTCAAAATTGTGTCGGCTGTCCTACGACTGTTACGACATTAAATAAAATTCCTTCTACGACGCTAGCAAGCATGTATTACTGGTGGTCACAATTTTTAACATTTTTTGTTAATACTGTATCGCTGAATCGAAGCATTTTACGTTCACTTTTTAAATCTATATGTATTTTTCCCCCGTGCAATTTTTTTTTTGTGCAATTTTTTTTTTATCATAGAATCACCCTGTTTAATTACCAAGAAAACTGCGTGCAACAAAACTAATGGTTACAACTGTAAGTGTATAATAACTAACCAAAACAAATAAATCTCTCCTTCCCATTTAGGGTAAAAAAGCAAAGGATTCCTGTTTGGGGGAACTATTTGGACATTGCCTCTCTTGGCAAAGCGATGCTCCTGACAATTGCCCTTTGAAATCTCTCGTTGACAAGACAACCTTCAAATCACCAGAGGACCGTCCGATTTAACTGTGCAGCTGCAGACATTAGTGAAAGGCCAAGAAATTACAAGAACTACAGGATTCTCTAAAGTGAATCCTGTAATGCTACGTGGTGTCCTTTATTATTCGTCTTTATTCTAGACGTCATTTTTATCGAGCAGGCGTGTATTCTCTCAATTTATCATCACTTTCCAACCCTATACTGACAAGAGAAATTTGCATGGTTTGCTAAAACCTATCATACCCTTCAGCAGCAACCATTAATTTTTTTACACCCTTTATGAGTGTAACCTTGAGAATATAATATAATTTAAATTAATCAATTACCATCGACACTAGAATTGATTACTTTATAATATATTTTTGGATACATACTTCTGGTTCTTATTATCAACCCACGATTTGATTAGAGGGGTTTAAGGATTTTAAAATAATTCATCTCATTACTTCATAAAACTCCAGCTTTTTAAAAATGTACAAATTTCTCAAAAATTACCGTATAACAATCAAATATTTTATCACTAATTTAATATTTTCAGATTAGAATTGCATAATTTAAGAAATATTGTGCTCTCTGCTATCAAAGAAAAATTGATGAACACAGTGTTTTGATTTATTTTTGCGTTTTAAAATTTAAAAATGTAATAAACGCAAAGCTTTGCCTCTGGTTTTATTGCAAATTAATCGTAACTTTAATTTCTAAATATAGATACTAATGATATCTCTTCATAATTAAAGAAAAAAAAGTGCTTTCTGAAATTAGCTGCATTAGTCGCTTATAAAAGCTTCTTAATTTTTTTCGCAACACCTAGTATTTGCACCTAGGACAATGTCTTCAAACTGATGTTTACTTACCGTGTCTTTCAAATTTGTTTATAGATAATATCCTTAATGAAGAACTCCTTTACTCAACTATCACTTTCTATCACCAGCTATCATTATCATTTTGTTTTTAAGTAGTACTTTTTTTTCTAATGTTAATCCAGAAAACGCACGAATTCAAACTTGATTGTTCTGCCATATTATCTGAAAAGTATCCGAATTAGGTTTACAGAATTAGGTCCCCTACCCCTGTGTTTCACAGTAAGTTTCGCAAACCTTAAAGTCGTCGTTTCTTAAATATTTAACAAATATTTCGTCGGTGCTGTTGTGTAAATTAAACTTATTTTAATATCTAAAAGAATTTGAAAAAAAATGTGTAAAATCAAGGTATAAACCTATTTTTATTTTTTGACGTAGCTGGTTATTTTAGTTATGGTTATGCGTATTTTTCAACTGAAATCATTCATTATTGCTCATTATATATTGACTTAGATTTTTGGAATTTACTTCACAATTTGAAAAATTCGAATAATTTTGTTAATGACCTTTTTAGTATTCAACTCTTTCCTAAATTTTGGAAATTAGTTTAGTATAGTTTCAATATCTAACTCCTGCACATCTGAGGTTCTTACACTATTCCTACTGATGATAATATTTCTAATACTCTTCCTACTGATGATAATATTTCTCATAGATGGTGCTTTGATTATTGTTGTATTAGTCAATTCAGATTTAATTTAGACGCTGCAACAATAACACCAAATATTCTCGTTATTAAATATTTTCAGTTATAGAGTGTGCTTTCAATAATATGATCTATGAAATTCATAAAGAATGAAGAATCATTTATCTGACAAGGTTTAAAGAAGTACGACTGCACAAACACACACAAACGGAACAAATAATTAAACTCCGAAAATTGACACCTACTATATATGTTTTTAATCTTTCTTCTTTCATTTGATTATCTTGTTCCCCTTTCCCCTTAATCAAGCTACTTCTATTTTTATTGCATTTTGTTTCGTAAATTTTCCTCAGTATCTTGTTTCCTTCTCTCATTCCGTGTTTTTTAAAGAAGGGACTGCATCATGGAACCAAAACCATATTATGTTTAAGTTGCATCACTTAGGTTTTATACACGTTGTTTACATGTAACACATGCCAACGTTTATATTAACCACTTTTGGAGTTATTCTTTGATAGTTTATAATAATTTTTAATTTATGCTTAGTATAATTATTATTTTTGAGAATAATGATCTATTCATATTAGTAAGAAGTGTTCATGAATATTAGTTATCAATCAATGTGTCTAATTAAGTTTAAATAATAATTAAAGCTAATTAGCATAATTTATTGGTGTTAAGAGTAAGTCATGAAGTTGTGTATTAATGTCTTACCTTCCCAGAAGACTGAACGCCTTTACTGAGGCATAAAAATACTATAACCCAGGCTAATATTAAGCAGGCAGCAAGCGTCCATCGGACTCCGCCAGTTTCTTCAATTCCGGAAGACTGACCAAGAACGTAATTTCTAACGGAATAAAACAATGCATATCCAGTATATAAAATATAATTGTTTGTCATTTTAATATCACAAGTAATAAAAAATTGGAATATTACATAAAAGGAAGAAGGAAAAAAAAGCCATTAATAGCAAATCTAAAGTAAAGTGTTTTAGCATTATTGCCGTCGTGCACTCGTTAAGATACTTAACTTTTTAGAAATGTGGTTATTTCCATGTTCAGTTTTAGCATAATTAATATTTATTTTCAAATTTATTTTTAAATTTATTTTTTTTGAAACAAAACAAACAAATATAACTTTATTGAGAACAAAAACACATAAATATAAAGAATATAAATTCGTCGTCAAGAGGAAAATCCTGTCCAGGCGACAAAGAAAAGTAATACAATAAATTTAAAATAGAAATTTTTATTAATATATTAATATTTTAAATTTATTTTACACCGAAGAGCCATTACATTATGACCACCCTCCATCTATAACAATAAGCTCGCCCAGGTTGGTTTCTCGCCCAGGAACAATGTTTTCATGGGGCACATTAGGACCCATAAGCCACATAGAACAATCCCTGACGTCTGTAAGCTACTTGAACATAGTTGCAGACCAGGTTCACCCATTCATGGCAACAGTTTTTCCTGCGGGGCATGGTGTTTACTAACAGGATACTGTACCATGTTATAAGGGTCGAATCGTCGTGGATTGGTTCGAGGAACATTCCAGTGACTTTCAAGTCATGTCTTGGCCCCCAAATTCACCTCATCTTAATTCAATAGAGCATTCGTGGTCCTACTTGGAAAACCAAATTCGTGCTGCCACGCTACCCCCCCCCGCAATGTGAGGGAATTGCAGGATCGACCCGTTGGTGAGTGCTTGGTACCAGATACCTCAGATTACCTATCAGCACCTTGTGCAATAAATGCCACTGTGGGTGCTAGCAGTTTTGAGGGCTAAAGGTGATCTTACATGTTATTAGCAGGGTGGTCATAATGTAATGGCTCTTCGGTGTATATTCAGCAAATTCTGAATTTAGCAAGTGATGAAACAAATTATGAATTAGAATTGCTCACCATTTTTGTTTTTCTTTTTATTGATAATGATATGATGCGATCAAGAGTGTTGCACAAATACATCTTAGTTTTAATTCTGGGGTTAAAACTACTAAAGACTACTAAAAATTATTTTCTTAAAAACAGTAAATGGACATTAACACATTATTTACAGTTTTTATAATTTCACTTGATCACAATAAAGTAATTAGATTCGAGACTATTGGATCTGAGAACATTAAACGTTATATTTATAAGGTTTTTATTTCAATAATCCCCATATGCCAAAGGAACAGATGAGAAAATATTAAATTGAAATTTCCTGTAGCAATCTTCTATATTTGAACAACTATCAGCTATGACTAATGGGCTTTTTTGCCAATGACTAGACTAACGTCTTTTTTAAGACTAATGGCAATCAAAAACAATTGAAACTTACAAAGCCATCAGGTATATATCCCTAATAAAAATTTGAGTGCTTATGTGGTTGAGTGCTTAACTAATTTTTGTAACAAGACCCCATCTTACAGACATGACAGACGATGAATAAAAATGTAATAAAATACCATTATTACGATGGGATGAATTCAAAATTGATATTTCAAGATATATTGATATATTACGCAGTCCTATAACTAACACATGTAGCTCGAATGTCAGACGTTGATGCGTATCATGGTTTGGTTTGTATGTATAGCTGGACAAACAGCAGCTTTTTAATCCTTACGTTTTGAAGTTATTTATTAAATTGTCCACATATTTCATGTTATGTTCCTCTTTCATTACAAATCGAGAGTGTTAACTTTTTTCAAAATACAAAAAGTGATTTAAGAAATGTTTAGAATTTTTATAGTGTACTCTAAACCTTTTATTGGTTTGTCAAATATGTTTTAAATTATGTCGTAAATAAACAAATTAAAAAAATGTGTTTTTTAGTTTTTTTCTGCCTCTATTTTCTACTTTCCCATCATCACTTGAAAAATTTCACTCAAAAAGTACAAAAGTAGATCTTTTAGGACAGCTTTAGGACAAAAGCAAAAGACTCGAGAATCGGGGAGAACTGACCCCGATCTGATATAAGTTTAAAGCATATTAGAAGAAATTAAGCAACGTTGAATGCTTTCATGGGCCTTATTCGAAATCTCCAATTGCTTTTTCCCCCAGCACATGACATTTCTAGTTTAGCGAATGTTACAAAAATATTCAATGAGTTAAACAATTGAACTTATACTTACTCAAAGTATTCACCGGCTGGAGGTTTTTTGGTCATGTATTTTACGAGTGAACTTAGATTATGAGCTATGGAATAATTTCCATCAAAGCAGGTGCGGTTGTAGTAAGTGCCATTTTTCTGCATACAGTCCTGTGCGTCATTATAGGAGTAGCAGGCTATGAATAGAAGAATAGGGCATTTGTTAGCAACCGCAGAATGAGCTATGAATTTTTTGGCTCCTAATTGCTTTTAATAAAATCGGGTTAAGAATGAAAAAAAAGTATTTATCAGAAATAATAAATATATATTAAATGATTCAGGCT